TTATTACCACTCAGATGGTTTCCTTCTGGTTAGAGCATAACAACATTGGTCAGAGAGGTTGGGGTAATAATAGTAATCCTCTGGAAATCTTATTTTAATGAAGTACAGTGGACCCCCGGTTAACGATATTTTTTCACTCCATAAGTATGTTCAGGTGCCAGTACTGACCGAATTTATTCCCATAAGGAATATTGTGAAGTAGATTAGTCCATTTCAGACCCCCAAACATACACGTACAAACGCACTTACATAATTGGTCGCATTCGGAGGTAATCGTTATGCGGGGGTCCACTGTATATTTATAATACACCTACCATCCGACTTGAGACCAAACTTGGTTTTGACCAACTGGTCGTAAGTCAAAATGGATGCAATCGAACCTTTGAAAATTGCCAACATACTGGGTAGGGCATAATGTCAAACCTTTCCTATATAAACTACCTACATAGTACTGTAATGTAATGTACAATCATTATTTCATTCTTTTTGCCATAATTTACTTCTATTGTTATATTTTAATTATTTATGTACTGTATATAATGTATACATGGTAGTGAACTGTATTGTAAATTTTACATCGCATACAGTATCATGTGTTACTGTTATCTTTATGTATTGTCGACACAGTGAATGGGAGAATACCACTGGTATTGTCATCCTGCCAGAATGTAGTATAACCTATACCCTAAGTAAAGAGAAACAACTCTGGAACGTGTAATACGTATCCGGCTGGCTGGCCGGGTGGGTGGGTGGTGGTTGGCTGACTGAATGTGGCTGTCAATTTTTTTTTTTTTTTTTCTTTTTTTACACAGGGTTTGACAAGGTTAAGGATCCCCAGTTTTATTGACAAGCTATTTACAGGTTAAGGATTCCTAACTTTATTGACAAGCTAAGAGCTGTTACCTACATCAGCTCATTTGAAAGCATTTTTGTTATGAGACATACAAGTAGGGAACAGGATGAAGTTGGAGCCATCCATGGGCCAGCATTTTCATTTGATCAACTGACGTTATCTCGTTGACATCATTATGCTGTACGAATGTGTTCCATACTCGAGTCATCCTGGGTATATATGATCTCAGATGGAGTGATGTTCTGAAGAATGGTACAGCCAGAGTGAAGTTGCTGCTTTCTGCCCATCTTGTGGCATAAAAGCTTGTTTCACGCTGTCCTCGAAGTGGATCAAAGTGTGGTACTTTGACAATATTGGCCTTGTACATAACAGTAAGGCCACCCACATCCCTCCTGTGTTGAAGGCTCTGCTGAAATGACAGATTTATCCAGGATGGGTCCAGGTGAGAGATGAGACGTCTTGCTCTGTTCTCTACTCTGTCAAGCAGTCGCAGATGAGAGGGGGGAGGGGGGCAGGCAAACCAAGAAAGTGGAGCATACTCAAGGTATGAGCGTACTTGTGCCTCGTACAGAATCTTGCATCCCCTACTGTCAAGCAGATGCCAGATACGGCGAAGTGTTGTAAGCTTCCTGGCTGCCTTGTTTACTAGATTTACAACATGGTTCTTCATGGTTAGTTTGGAGTCAAATTTCACCCCAAGGATATCAACTTCTCCAGGTATCCAACACCCTCCCATTCATCCTTACTACTGCACCAGCAGTAGTAAGGGGGGAGTTTAGGTTCGTTGAAGTTAAATTTTTGCCCCCTAACACCACTCCTCTCCTCCAGCCCATGGACCAGCAGGTCATTTCAAATTGCAAAAAAAACTGTATACCAAAGCAGTTTCAAAAGTGCTTTGAAGTGACCTCAGACACTGAATTGACCCTAAGAGAGTTCTGGAAAGATCACTTCAGTATCCTCAGTTGCATGAACCTTATAGGTAAGGCTTGGGAGGGAGTAACTTGCAGGACTTTGAACTCTGCTTGGAGAAAATTGTGGGCAGAATATGTACAAGAGAGGGATTTTGAAGGGTTTGGGGCTAACCCTGAGGAGCCTATGCCAGTTATGGAATCTATTGTGACATTGGGGAAGTCCATGGGGTTGGAGGTTAGTGGCAAGGATGTGGAAGAGTTGGTGGAGGACAACGATGAAGAGCTAACCACTACAGAGCTGCAAGAGCTTGAGGTGCAACAGAAACAGACCACAGCTTAGGAATTTCCCTCAGAGGGGGAAGAGAGATGGAGGAAGTTGCCTTCTTCAATGATTAAGGACATTTGTACAATGTGGACAAAGGTGCAAGCATTTATGGATGAACATCACTGTGACACAGCTGTTGCAAGGCATGCTATCAACATCTACAATGACAATGTTGCCCCATTTTAGGGAAATCTTAGACATGCCAGAAACAGAGCTCTCTGGACAGATTTTTGGTACAACAGGGGTCCAGTGACTCTCAAGCTGGTCCTAAAGGCATTAAAAAACAAAGAAAGGAGGTAACCCCAGAAAAGGACTTGGTACCTAAAGTCCTTATGGAAGGGGATTCCCCTTCCAAACAGTTTTAAACTCCATCCTCTGCCCTCCTCCCATCTCATCACTCATCAAATACATCTTCAGTAAAGGTAAGTGTCATTTTATTAATTATTAATGTATTTATTCTGCATGTCTCATTGTTTTCTGTGTAGGGAAGTGTATATTTCATGTAAAAAAATTTTGTTTAATACTTTTGGGTATCTGGAACGGATTAATTGGATTTCCATTTATTTCTTATGGGGAAAATTAATTCGGACAACGACAGAATGGGTTAAAGACAAACTCTCTGCAATGGATTAATGTCGTTAACTGAGGGTCCACTGTGCACTCAATAATTTTAGCACCTTCAAATCAAGCAGGAGAAAGCTGATAGGCCCACATGTAAGAGAATGGGTCTGTGGTCAGTGTACACTATAAAAAAAATCCTGCAGCACGCAGTGCATAACGAGAGAAAAAAAACTCCAACTGTGTTTTTGGATTAAAACTCCGACTTTGAGGTGTATTTTCTTAATAGTATTGTTGTATTCTCGTTTTCTTGGTCTCATTTGATAGAATGGAAAACATATTACAGAAATAGATGATTTTGATTAGTTCACGATGAAAATGACCTTGAAGTTGAGCTCAAATTAGTGGAAATGTTAAATTTTTACCAATGTTCAAGAGTAAGCAAATCACACCACACCATCAACTGGGGAGTCTAATATTCTTTCAATAGTGCACTGATATTATTTATACCACTTTTACAATAATGCAGTAGTCTGCATAACAGTAAATCATCTATTTTTTGTGTGAAATAAAAATCAAAATAGCAAGAGTAATATAAGAGGAGCATAGAGACGTGACTGTTGAACAGAGGATAAGCTATTTTAGTGCCAGAATGTGCATTGTTTATTCTGGACCCTGTTTTAAAATTGGCATCTTTTTTAATTTGGGTAGTTGAAATTGGTAAATGGGCAGATTCTTGTACTCAACTGGTAGAAAAAAAATGGAGTTCTAAAGAACTAGCTATGAGTTTGGTCGACTGGAGCAATGGAATTAGCTGAAAATAGAGCTCAAAGTTGGCGAAATTGCCGATGTGTATGTATTGCCGGGATCGCTAACTTTGCGAGAGCGTAATTACACAAGTTTTTGATCAAATTTCGTATTTTTGGTGCCATTAGCAGTGGGAAAAGATTATCATTTCATAATTTTTTTTTTCCAAAAAAATTTGTAACATAGAAGTTGTTTCAGAAATGGGTTTGTGACAGTCAGAGGGTTAAGACTATGAATATTTTAAGGTAAGTAATGAATGTACCGTGTATTTTTATTTTTTAATGCTTAGTTCTGTTAGCTTAATATATGTTAGTGTTAAAAGTGGAAAAAAAATGGCCTGCTCTACAGCGGTAGCCTGGAACCTTACCTGCCGTATAAATGGGGCCCTACTGTAACTGAATCTCTTTCCAGTTGGTGTATGATCGGCTTTAGTGCCCAACATTTCTTGAAGGAGATTAATCTTAATCTTTTCTTTGGTCACTGATGGGTCATCCATATGTGCAGGGAGTCTTGGCCTCAGTTTTGGATTATGCATAGTTGATGACATCTACCTTGCTTCACATGTATTCTCCTATATGTGGTTGCAGGGGTAAATTCTTAGCTCACAGCCCTGCCCCTCAGCTGCCATTTGCCAGATTCATACTCCTTGTTTCATGGATCTCCTCATACCTGCTCTTAAAACTACATATGGAGCCTGTCTTCACTTCCCAACCATCTTAAAAATGAAGACATATTTCCTAACATCCATGGCTTATCTGTGTCTTAATTTTCAACTGTATCCCCAAGTACCCATTTCTCACCTCTGAAACAACCTATTCCTGCCCACCTTATCAGTTCCTCCGAGTGTTTTGCATGTTCTTACGTCTTCTCTGGTTTTTCTGTCTTCCAATATAAGTAGATTCAGTTCTATAAATCTCTCATGATACAACCCCTTTGGCTCTGGAACAAATCTTGTTGAAGGCTTCTGCCTATTTTCCAGTTTCATAAGATGCTTTGTTTTCAGGAGTGGGTTCTGTATTTAGTGCTGCATACAAGATGGGCCTGACATTTATATAAAGGGCCCAGAATGACTAAATTCCTGAAAGCTACTCTTAGATTTGCCAGATAAGCATTGGCTAGAGTTTATTCAACTGATGTGAACCTCTGGCAATATGTACTAGGCACTATGTGAATGCATTTTTAATTTTATTTTTTTTTCTCAATTTCCATGTAGTTTTATTGTTAATGTCGATATTCATAAGGTATTAAATTGGAAACTTATAGCTTGAGGAAAATTATTTGTATTGAGCATTTGTAGATATTGTGTACTAGTGTGGTGGTCCCTGTATATTCTTCCTCCTATAATGCACATTCAAGAATCGGCACCTTCCAGAGCATATCTCAGCATACAAGTGCTGTATAGCCCTTGTGGCTTAGTGCTTCTTTATTATTATAATCAGCATACAAGTTCCAGAGCTCAAGTCTCAGCACTGATGAAACTGAATACACACTCAAGATTAAGTTCTCGTGATTTCCAAGGTTTTTATTCCACAATAAGATGCTAAAAAAAAAAAAAAGTTTAAATTTATTAGAGATTAAGGGATACATACAGACATATCAGGTATGCAAAAACAAGTATTCATAAAATAGCTTTTTGTAAGAAAAATTAATGTATGACCTATAACACACATGTTTAAACCCCTAAAACCCATGTTTCTCCTTCCTGTATCTTGCAAACAGTATGTACATATGTAATATACATGCTTATACTGTATCCCCATGCCCAAATTTTTTTATTTCATTAATATAAAAAAAAGTTGCACAATTCTTAAAGAATGCAAGGCTGCAAATAAGCTTGTGTACATTTTTATTTACTCTATTTCTACTTTCTTTTTTTTCTTTTTCTTTTTCGGTGGCTCCATAGCCTCTTCTTGTGCTTCAGGTTCTGTTGGCTCCACTGATGCTTGTACCTCTTTTTTCTTTTTCTTCTTTTTCTTTTCACCACTAGCCTGTGAGGTTCCTGTAAATAAAATAAGTATCAGAGAAAGTAGCATTTGTGACTTAGAATGTCTTGAAAGGGAAAAAATATTTAAACACTTTTCTGCATATACATACAATATCTACAAGCATATATACACCCCCCCCCCTCTCGGTCAAGAACACTGAAACACTAAGTATCTACTTCTTTATTCAGTTCAATCATCCACAGGAGGCAAAAATCAAGTAATTAACCCAGTAAACTGGCAGAAGTCAGAAATGGTTATCTTTATCAGCTTCCTTACCTAAACAATCTGGAATGGACATAAACATCAAGCTTTTTTTCAAGGCCATATTAGAATGAAAATTATAAAGAATTGAGTGGTTACACTGAGGAAATGACAGGATATGAAAATAATTTAACAAAATTTCATATACAGTGGACCCTTGACCAACGATATTAATCAGTTCCTGAGAGCTCATCGTTAGTCGAGTTAATTTTCCCCATAAGAAATGATGTAAATCAAATTAATCCGTTCCTGACACCCCAAAGTATTGAAAAAAAAAAAAAATTTTACCACATGAAATATTAATTTTAATACAAACTGAAGAAGACGTACAATTACATGACACTTACCTTTATTGAAGATCTGGTGATGATTGATGGGATGGGAGGAGGGGAGAGTGTGGATTGTGTTAGTGTTTAGAAGGGGAATCCCCTTCCATTATGACTTGAGGTGTCAAGTTCTTTCCTTTTCTGGGGTTACTTCCCTTCTTTTAATGCCACTAGGACCAGCTCGAGTCACTGGACCTCTGTTGCACAACATATCTGTCCATAGAGCTCTGTACCTCCCGTTCCTGTAAGATTTGTCTAAAATGGGCCATAACATTGTCACTAATAGTCACCAGCATGGCTTGCAATAGATGTGTTAGGGTGATTTTCATCCATAAAGGTTTGCAGCTCAACCCACTTTGCACACATTGCCTTAATCTTTGAAGTAGGCACAATGGATTCCACAACTGGCATAGGTGTCTCAGGGTTAGCCCTAAACCCTTCAAAATCTTTCTTAATTTCCATACTAATTCTCACCCTTTTTATCACAGGGTTGGCACTACAAGCTTTCTTGGGGCCCAAGGTGACGCTATGATATGAAATGTTCTGATTGTATGCGACCGCGGTGGCTGGCTTGTAAACACTGGCACCCACGGGACAAGCGAGGCGTGCTAAGGCCACACGTGGATGCGTCTCGAACGGAACGAATCGTGTTGGTCGAGTTTTTTAGCGCTAGTCAAGGCAAAATTTTTGCGTTAAAATGTATCGCTAGTTGGATTTAACGTTATACGATGCCATCGTTGGTCGAGGGTCCACTGTAAAGTGCATATTAGGGTTTTTACAAGTGAGCAAGTTCCAGTACCAGAGAGAGAGGAAGAAACCAACTAGAACCTTTTAAGCATGAAACAAGTAGAGACTAGTGATACAGAAAAGGCATTAGAACCAAAGATAACTAACAAAGGTGTTTAACAAATTATCAGAGATGGTTAAAGTGCCAGAAAAAAAAAAAAGAGCAAAAAAAAAAAAAAAAAAAAAAAAAAAAAAAAAAAAAAATAAAGCCAATATAAAGCAAGGCGAGTTAATGAATTACAGGTCAGTGTTAATATGTATCATGAAAAATTTAAGACAGGTAATAAATAACTTGTTTTCCAAGACATATTTGTGATACAAAACTTGGTTTATATTGTTTCTTTCATGCAAAAACCAATAGTTCTGTAACACATTCGCAGCGCTGTATAGCCCTTGTGGCTTAGCGCTTCTTTTTGATTATAATAATAATAATGTAACACATTCAAAGTAATACTAGTAGACAGTGCTGTATGACCCTTTTGGGTTTAGCACTTAGTTATGATTATACTTATGTTCATACTAGCAGTGCATATTATCAAAACTAAATGCTAAATCCACCAGGGTCATACAGTGCTGCTAGAAGAGCATTTTTTTTTTTTTGTAGTAGAATTTATTATTAATTTAATGTTACAATTTTTGGTTTCTTCTGGTAGACCACTCCAGATTTTGGGCACTATTATTTGCATAGCATTTTTATATCAATTCATATGTAAACATGGAATATCAATAGGAATTTATTTGTATGTCCATTTTTCTACAACACTACAGGTAGAATCTTTATTCCGTACTGGTATTATGGTTTAGTTTGGTGCAGTGCTGTATGTCAACTTTTGGTTGAGCACTTAGCTTTATTATACTGTATTTCTCTGTTTAGTAAATTATATAGTGAACATTTATTATAAGTATCAAATTAAGCTCAACCTGTAAAGGTGACACAGTGCCATGAGGAATGATGTGTAAAAGTAGAAATGTGTGAAGGTTTGGAATAAGAGGTAAGGGTGTGTTAGGGTTTGGGGGAGGCGAGTTGTGTATTCTCCCAAACTCAATAATGGTGGGAAGAGGGTCAGAATCCTTAATGTGGTTTGATAGAAAACAATTTGTGGTCCAAATGTGAACCAACACTTGCTGGCCTTTGAGGTGGTGGCAAAAGACAACTGAAAAATAGTCCGTAAAAGAAATACCCCTATGGGAAATCTGAGTCTTAAGTAGCTGACCGAGTGGCTGTATCTGCATGTTCACTGCCCTGAATATCAATGTGTTCAGGAACCCAGCATTATATAACTTCTTTGTCCTTATTAATATACAAAGGACAATGGGATGAGACAAATTTCTGGTTACCCAGTAGCACTTTGGGAGTGAAACAATTACGACAAGGCAGACACGATAGCAATGAAAACTGCATATAACTAAATTCATAAATGCCAGATAAACTCACCTGGCTGTTCTTCTGCCATTTCTACTTTAATCCTCTTTGGCGTTTGTTCCTCCTGCATCTCTTGAAACTTCCGCTTGCTTGAGCTCTCTAATGTTGAATCTGCTGCAGCAGAATACTGCTTCACCTCACTGCAGAAAAAAAAATGCATAAAATTCTAACACCACATCTTAGCCAAATATGGATGCAACACAACTAATCTCACTGTGCCTAAAATTAGTCAGTGATCAGGATCACAAATATAGTTTCCCGTGTATTCACAAAAGTAATTTCCCCCCTTTTGCAGTTCTCTAGGCACATCTAGTCTGATGGAAAGATGAATGAATCTACAATTTTATGGTGCATAATTGTTCTTAGCTAATATTCAACCCCTCGAGTGTGTCGCCTTAATTCAGCGGGTGCCCCTCTTATCCTTGAAGAATTTGAGTTTGGTGTTTGCTGACTTTCATGAATACAGTATTAAAAGACAGCACAACATGCATAGGAGTATTTTAATCAAATTGATTGCTAACATGTTTTTTAGGTAAAGGAAGTTCCCTCTTGTATCTTCAATGTGACAAAGATGCAAATAAGATTCTATATAAATCAAATATTCATGACTGTTGCCATCTTAGCCTTAAATTAGGGAGTACAGCACTGGAAACACATTCTTCTTCCCAAGGTCTTTTGCATTATGCAGGGAAATGAAAGTGAACTAGGCAACATTTATGGTTTCATATAATACACATTTATACTGGGTAAAATTCAGACACTAACCAATTTTTTTTTTTTTTTTTTTGCTACTCAGATAATGCAATATGATCATCAATAATAGTTATTAATTTGTAACCAGGAAAGTATATGCAAGCGAGTTGATTATTACCAATAGCACACTATGGGTTATCCTTACCTAATAACCTGTCTATAATAATACAGTGAAAGTGAACATGGATAAGAGTAAGGTAATGAGGGTATCAAATGATTTAGATAAAGAAAAATTGGATATCACATTGGAGAGGAGTATGGAAGAGGTGAATGTTTTCAGATATTTGGGAGTTGACTTGTCAACGGATGGGGTTTATGAAGGATGAGGTTAACCACAGAATTGATGAAGGAAAACAGGTGAGTGAATGGCGAGTTGAGGCATCTGTGGAGACAAAAAACGTTATCCATGGAGGCGAAGAAGGGAATGTACGAAAGTATAGTGGTACCAACACTCTTAAATGGGTGTGAAGCTTGGGTTGCAAATGCTGCAGTGAGGAGGCAGCTGAAGGCAATGGAGATGTCCTGTCTAAGGGCAATGCGTGGTGTAAATATTATGCACAGAATTCGGAGTGTGCAAAGTTATCAGGAGGTGGTGTGGATTTACTAAAAGTATTAGTCAGAGGGCTTAAGAGGGGTTGTTGAGGTGGCTTGGTCATTTAGAGGGAATGGATCAAAGTAGAATGACTTGGAGAGCGTGTAAATCTGTAGGGTAAGGAAGGCGGGGTAGGGGTCGTCCTCAAAAAGATTGGAGGAAGGAGGTAAAGGAGCTTTTCTGGGTGAGGGGCTTGGCTTCCAGCAAGCAAATGTAAGCGTGTTAGATAGGAGTGAATGGAGATGAATGGTCTCTGGGACCTGAAGAGCTGTTGGAGTGTGAGCAGGGTAATATTTAGAGATGGGATTCAGGGAAACCGGTTATTTTTATATAGCCGGACTCGAGTACTGGAAATGGGAAGTACAATGCCTGCACTTTAAAGGAGGGGTTTGGGATATTGGCAGTTTGGAGGGGTATGTCATATATGCTTCTAAACTGTTGTATCTGGGTGCCTCTGCAAAGACAGTGATTATGTGTGAGTGGGGTGAAAGTGTTAAATGATGATGAAAGTATTTTCTTTTTTGGGGATTTTCTTTGTTTTTGGGTCACCCTGCCTCGGTGGGAGATGGTCGACTTGTTGGAAGAAAAAAAAAAAAAAAATTACTCTTATAACAATACTAATATTAATAATAATAATATACAGAAGGGCCCCCGTACCCACAGAGTCAATATCCATGGTTTCAGTTATCCACGGTTTACTTTGGCCCAAAAATAATCCTTAATTTTGCTTAATAATGTCCCCAAGGTGAAAAAGTAGACAAGCCGGTAGTTCTTCAAAGCCTAAGCTATGAGATGCTTCCGATCATAATTTATCAGCTAAACTTTATCATACGTATATATGTAAAGTAAATGACATATAGGGTTCACTATTTTTTTTTTTTATCACACTGGCCGATTCCCACCAAAGGCAGGGTGGCCCGAAAAAGAAAAATTTTCACCATCATTCACTCCATCACTGTCTTGCCAGAAGGGTGCTTTACACTACAGTTTTTAAACTGCAACATTAACACCCCTCCTTCAGAGTGCAGGCACTGTACTTCCCATCTCCAGGACTCAAGTCCGGCCTGCCGGTTTCCCTGAATCCCTTCATAAATGTTACTTTGCTCACACTCCAACAGCACGTCAAGTATTAAAAACCATTTGTCTCCATTCACTCCTATCAAACACGCTCACGCATGCCTGCTGGAAGTCCAAGCCCCTCGCACACAAAACCTCCTTTACCCCCTCCCTCCAACCTTTCCTAGGCCGACCCCTACCCCGCCTTCCTTCCACTACAGACTGATACACTCTTGAAGTCATTCTGTTTCGCTCCATTCTCTCTACATGTCCGAACCACCTCAACAACCCTTCCTCAGCCCTCTGGACAACAGTTTTGGTAATCCCGCACCTCCTCCTAACTTCCAAACTACGAATTCTCTGCATTATATTCACACCACACATTGCCCTCAGACATGACATCTCCACTGCCTCCAGCCTTCTTCTCGCTGCAACATTCATCACCCACGCTTCACACCCATATAAGAGCGTTGGTAAAACTATACTCTCATACATTCCCCTCTTTGCCTCCAAGGACAAAGTTCTTTGTCTCCACAGACTCCTAAGTGCACCACTCACTCTTTTTCCCTCATCAATTCTATGATTCACCTCATCTTTCATAGACCATCCGCTGACACGTCCACTCCCAAATATCTGAATACGTTCACCTCCTCCATACTCTCTCCCTCCAATCTGATATTCAATCTTTCATCACCTAATCTTTTTGTTATCCTCATAACCTTACTCTTTCCTGTATTCACCTTTAATTTTCTTCTTTTGCACACCCTACCAAATTCATCCACCAATCTCTGCAACTTCTCTTCAGAATCTCCCAAGAGCACAGTGTCATCAGCAAAGAGCAGCTGTGACAACTCCCACTTTGTGTGTGATTCTTTATCTTTTAACTCCACGCCTCTTACCAAGACCCTCGCATTTACTTCTCTTACAACCCCATCTATAAATATATTAAACAACCACGGTGACATCACACATTCTTGTCTAAGGCCTACTTTTACTGGGAAAAAATTTCCCTCTTTCCTACATACTCTAACTTGAGCCTCACTATCCTCGTAAAAACTCTTCACTGCTTTCAGTAACCTACCTCCTACACCATACACTTGCAACATCTGCCACATTGCCCCCCTATCCACCCTGTCATACGCCTTTTCCAAATCCATAAATGCCACAAAGACCTCTTTAGCCTTATCTAAATACTGTTCACTTATATGTTTCACTGTAAACACCTGGTCCACACACCCCCTACCTTTCCTAAAGCCTCCTTGTTCATCTGCTATCCTATTCTCAGTCTTACTCTTAATTCTTTCAATTATAACTCTACCATACACTTTACCAGGTATACTCAACAGACTTATCCCCCTATAATTTTTGCACTCTCTTTTATCCCCTTTGCCTTTATACAAAGGAACTATGCATGCTCTCTGCCAATCCCTAGGTACCTTACCCACTTCCATACATTTAATAAATAATTGCACCAACCACTCCAAAACTATATCCCCACCTGCTTTTAACATTTCTATCTTTATCCCATCAATCCTGGCTGCCTTACCCCCTTTCATTTTACCTACTGCCTCACGAACTTCCCCCACACTCACAACTGGCTCTTCTCACTCCTACAAGATGTTATTACTCCTTGCCCTATACACTAAATCACAGCTTCCCTATCTCATCAACATTTAACAATTCCTCAAAATATTCCCTCCATCTTCCCAATACCTCTAACTCTCCATTTAATAACTCTCCTATTTTTAACTGACAAATCCATTTGTTCTCTAGGCTTCTTAACTTGTTAATCTCACTCCAAAACTTTTTGCTTATTTTCAACAAAAATTTGTTGATAACATCTCACCCACTCTCTCATTTGCTCTCTTTTTACATTGCTTCACCACTCTCTTAACCCTTTGAGGGTCGACAGGCCCTCTCCGAAACTCGTTCTCAGGGTCGGCCAAATTTAAAAAAAAAAAAAAAATTATTTTCTCTATGAAAAGATAGAGAATCTTTTCCGATCATAACGACACCAAAAGTTTGAAATTTGATAGAAAACTACGGAATTATGCTCTCGCAAAGTTAGCGGTCTCGGCGATGTTTACGGATCGGCGATTTTGCCCACTTTGAGCCCCATTTTCGGCCAATTTCACTGTACTAGTCGACAAAAAACATGAATATTTCGCTAGAACTCCATTTTTTCTATCGAATGGGTGCAAGAAACCACCCATTTATAAATTCAACTATCCAGTACAGTGGTCAAATTTAGCAATTTTGCCAATTTCACACAAATTTCAAAAGATGCCAATTTCGGAATAGGGTCCAGAATAAACAAAAAGACATTCCCTGGCACTAAAATGACATTTCCTCTAGTCATTAGTCACGTCTCAAGGCCCCTCTTATATTCTTTTGCTTTCCACTTTGAATTTTTATTCTCACAAAAAATATAAGATTTACTGTTATGCAGACTACTGCATTAGTGTAAAAAATGGTATAAATATTATTGGTGCACTTGTGAAAGAATATTAGACTCACCAGTTGACGTGTATTGCAACGCTTGGCACGATTTGTTTACTTCTTTTGAAGTTTGGTAAAAATCGAACATTTTCTGCTACTTTGAGCTCATTTCAAGGCACCTTTCATTGTAAAACCATCAAAATCATCTCAATTTCAGTAATATGTCTTCCATTCTATGAAATGAGACCAAGAAAACTAGAATACAACAATAAATAGCTATACGAAAATACACTGCAAAGTCGCTGATTTATTAAAAAAAAATGGAAAAAGTTTTTTTTTCTCATTATGCACCGTGTGCTGCAGGATTTTTTTTAGACTGTGCACACTGACCACATAGACCCATTCTTTCATATGAAGGCCTACCAGCTTTCTCCCACTAGATTTGAGGTCGCTAGAATTTATGAGTACTAGTACGTCAAAAACCCCTACGCGTAAGACGTACTAGTACGACGAAAACCCTCAAAGGGTTAACCTCTCTCTTTTTCTCCATATACTCTTCCCTCCTTGCATCACTTCTACTTTGTAAAAACTTCTCATATGCTAACTTTTTCTCCCTTACTACTCTCTTTACATCATCATTCCACCAATCGCTCCTCTTCCCTCCTGCACCCACTTTCCTGTAACCACAAACTTCTGCTGAACACTCTAACACTACATTTTTAAACCTACCCCATACCTCTTCGACCCCATTGCCTATGCTCTCATTAGCCCATCTATCCTCCAATAGCTGTTTATATCTTACCCTAACTGCCTCCTCTTTTAGTTTATAAACCTTCACCTCTCTCTTCCCTGATGCTTCTATTCTCCTTGTATCCCATCTACTCGTAATGTATCCCCCGTGGATATAGAGGGACTACCGTAATCTTTATTTCTACAAGTACGTGAACATCTAAACTGTTGGACCCGAGTGCCTCTGCAAAGACAGTGATTATGTATGAGCGATGGTGAGTGTTGATGATGATTAAAGTTTGTTTTTCTTTATTTTTGTGTCACCCTGGCTCAGTGGGAAATGGCTGATAAAAAAAAAGCACGTACAAGGTATATAGGCGTAGCTGACATCAATGACATACTACTATATAAAAAGCCCCCTTGTTATGCAGAGCATTTTGGGCAAATTAGGTCAATTGTGACTTAGGATGAAACCCACATCAGTCAACTAACACCCAGGTACTCATTTTACTGATGGGTGAACATTGGACAGCAAGTATCTAAAGGAAACGTGTCCAAATGTTTCCAACCATACCGGGGATCGACCCTTGGACCTTAGCATGCGAGCTAAGTGCACTAGCAATCAAGCTATGGGACACCTTAGTTAAAACTATCTCCTTCAGTGCCATAGTAATGTCATGGAAACAAAACAAGGGTTAAAATACAACCTATAGGATTTCTCCTGACACCCTAACATTAAACTTTCTTTTAACACTAAGCTAATAACTTAAGAGATAATTATGAACAAAATCCTCCTTAATGTCATCTCTATCATCATCATGAGCTTATTTATTTTTTTTTTTTTTTTTTTTATTATCACACCGGCCGATTCCCACCAAGGCAGGGTGGCCCGAAAAAGAAAAACTTTCACCATCATTCACTCCATCACTGTCTTGCCAGAAGGGTGCTTTACACTACAGTTTTTAAACTGCAACATTAACTTTATCAAGACTGATAAAGCCCCTCATGGGCAAAACATCTCATACAATGATACCCAGGTGTTGACCATCTAATTTATTAATATTTAACTATAAGTAAAATGGAAAAAATAAAAGCTCAACTAACCTTATTCCTTCGTATTTTGCATGTCTTGCCACAGTCTTCCCAGTTCCTGAGATTCTTCTTGTAAATCCACTCTCCAGCATGGATATTCTTGAAGCAAGTTTTGATCTATTTTCGATGCCCATCTCTGTTGTAGTTTCCTCTCCAAGTGCATCATAACGACATGCAAGTGCTGCCTTAGCAGCCAACATACGAGACATCTTTCCCTATTGATATAAAATTGTAAAGAAGAAATTATATTTGCAATGCATCAGCAATAAAATAGGAATATCTTTTTTTTTTTTTTGTTAATCTTAATCAGCAGGGCAAGTCATAAACTAATGAAAGCAACAAATATATATGTCCTTGAATTTGTATTGATAAAGCCACTGGATGGCAAAATGTCTACAATAAAGATACCCCTATGTTGCATGTGTCTAATCTTCAACAATTATATAAACCAGGAAAATTGGGACCAACTTGGTGGCATAGACATGAAGGAGCAAGCTGCTTGTGCTTGAATTGTAATGCAGAAATTCCTCGGGCAAAATGTCAAAGAGCCAACAAGATTACAAGGAATGATGAACTAGTACAGTTGGACCTTGGTTTACCTCAGGAAGACTGATTTAAAGATTTCTTCATATCAATGTGCTGACACTACTAGCTAGTCAAAGCAAAAACTAAAGAAAAGATGAGAAAATAAGGAACTGACAAGTCTGATGTACAAGAAAAGTGACTGAAGGAATAATATTTTTGTGACATGCAGAGAAGTATTAATTCAGGACAGTACACCCAAGAAGCAATAAAAAAATATAATCTAAAGTATGAAGAGATGTAGAATATTTATTGCAAACAAGCAAGGGTTTTCTAGGTAGTAGGTTGGTAGACAGCAACCGCCCGGGGAGGTACTACCGTTCTGCCAAGTGAGTGTAAAACTGAAGGCTGTAATTGTTTTACACGATGGTAGGATTGCTGGTGTCTTTTTTTTTCTGTCTCATACACATGCAAGATTTCAGGTATGTCTTGCTACTTCTACTTACACTTAGGTCACACTACACATACATGTACAAGCATATATATACACACCCCTTTGAGTTTTCTTCTATTTTCTTTCTAGTTCTTGTTCTTGTTTATTTCCTCTTACCTCCATGGGGAAGTGGAACAGAATTCTTCCTCCGTAAGCCATGCGTGTTGTAAGAGACTACTAAAATGCCAGGAGCAAAGGGCTAGTAACCCCTTCTCCTGTATATATTACTAAATGTAAAAGGAGAAACTTTCGTTTTTCCTTTTGGGCCACCCCGCCTCGGTGGGATACGGCCGGTGTGTTGAAAGAAGAAAGAAAGAAAGCAAGGGTTTTAAACTTTGCAGCAAAGGGTTTTAAACTTTGCAGCAAAGAAGCTGGAGGCAATAGAGATATTTTTGAGGGTTGTGTGTAGTGTGAATGTTCTGCAGAGAATTCAGAGCATGGAGATTAGGTGTAGGATTACCAAATATTTAGCTCGAGGGATGATGAGGGGCTACTGAGGCTGATTCGGGCATATATACAGTGGACCCCCGGTATTCGATGGCATCGGTATTCGATAAATCCGGTTTTCGATGCATTTTAACGCAAATTTTTTTTCCTCAGTATTCGATATGATTTGTATGAGACCTGTCCACGTGTGGCCTGAACTGCTCCATGTGTGCTAGTGTTTACAAGCCAGCCAGTGTGCGCGCATCTAAGGATACATTCGGTACATTCCATATTATCCATATTATCACTGTGTTTGGTGCTTGTTTCTGCAAAATAAGTCACCATGGGCCCCAAGAAAGCTTCTAGTGCCAACCCTTCGAGAGAAAAGTCGCTAATGACTTATGAAATGAAGAAAGAAATAATTGCAAAGTACGAAAGTGGAGTGTGTGTGTCGGAGCTGGTCAGGTTGTATAATAAACCCCAATCAACCATCTCTACTATAGTGACCAGGAAAACGGCAATCAAGGAAGCTGTTCTTGCAAAAGGTGCAACTGTGATTACGAAACAGCGACCGCAAGTGTTAGAAAATGTTGAGAGATTGTTACTGGTGTGGATAAATGAAAAACAGATAGCAGGAGATAGCATCTCTCAAGCGATCATTTGTGAAAAGGCTAGGCAGTTGCATGACGATTTGGTAAAGAAATTGCCTGCAACTAGTGGTGATGTGAGTGAATTTAAGGCCAGCAAAGGTTGGTTTGAAAGATTTAAGAATCGTAGTGGCATACATAGTGTGATTAGGCATGGTGAGGCTGCCAGTTATGTTGTGCGACAGAAGTCCAGTGACTCTCAAGCTGGTCCTAGTGGCATTAAAAGAAGAAGGGAAGTAACCTCGGAAAAGGACTTGCTACCTCAAGTCCTAATGGAAGGGGATTCCCCTTCGAAACACTAACACCTCTCCCCTCCTCCTATCCCATCAATCACCACCAGATCTTCATTAAAGGTAAGTGTCAATTATTTTATTGTTATTGTAATTATTCTATTGCATTAAACTTAATATTTCATGTAGTAAAAATTTTTTTTTCATACTTTTGGGTGTCTTGCACGGATTAATTTGATTTCCATTATTTCTCATGAGGAAAATTGATTCGGTTTTCGATATTATCGGTATTCGATGAGCTCTCAGGAACGGATTAATATCGAATACCGGGGGTCCACTGTATATATCTCAGTTGAAGTGAAGAGGAGGCTGGAGGCAGTGATGATGTATCTGAGGGCAATGTGTGGTGTAAATATTATGCAGAGAATTTGTAGTATGGAGATTAAGGATGGAGAGAGGAGGTAAAGGAGGTTGTGTGCATGTGTGAGCGTGTTAGATAGGAGTGGAGACAAATGGTTTTTAGGACCTGACAAGCTGTTAGTGTGAGAGTATGGTAATACTGTATGAAGGAATTCAGGAAACCTGGTTAGCCGAACTTGAGTCCTGGAGGTGGAAAGTACTTTGCCTGCACTTTAAAGAAGGGGTTTGGGATATTTGCTGTTAGGAGGGCCATCTGAACTATCGTAACTGCATGCCTCTGGAAAGACTGACAGTGTGAATGATGGTGAAAGTGTTTCTTTTTCGGGTCATCCTACCTCGGTGGGAGACGGCCAGCATGTTAAAAATATTCTTTCAAAACAAGGTAATACAAAGATCTTGGCATGTTCATAAAGATTTGTTAATACTCTTACACCTTATGCATGTGACTCATTCTTGAGTGCTTTATATAGTGCACATGTAAAACCCTAACCTAAAGTACAAAATGAAATCTGAGAGTACAAAAGAAAGCATCAAGGCACCAAGATGGGTAACTGAATTGAGGACAATGAGTAATGAAGAACGAGTATGAGAACTAGATCTTGAGTCACCGGAGGAGAAAAAGAGCAAGAGGTGGCATGATCATGACTTACATAATACTACATAGCACTGAGCAGAATGCGATAGGTTTTTTCCAGATATAAAAAGAACAAGGGGGCATAGTTGGAGATTACACACCCAAATGAGCTACAGGATTATCAGCAAGTACTGTATCTCTTCAATATATGAGTGTTAAAGGAGAGGAATGAGCCAGTAATGATCCAGAGGAGGTAAACTTCATACAGTTATACAAAAAAAAAAAAGTTTGACATAGCTCAATCATGCCCATGTTAAGGGCTGAAACCTAGAGCTTAAGCTCATCCCCCCTTTCCACTGTAAACTCAAATATCTAAGTATGGTTCCTTGATGTATATGTATAGTAAACCCTCCAATACAGGTATATTACAGTGTAATTATGTAAAAATGTATTTGAAAGTCCTTTAAATATGCATAGCATGAAATTAACCTTCCTAACACACATTGCAAATATATGAAGGGATTCAGAGAAACTGGCAGGCTGGACTTAATTCCTGGATATGGGAAGTACAGTGGCGGCACTCTGAAAGAGGTGTTAATGTTGCAGTTTTATAACTAGTGTAATCATGCCTCTGGCAAGACAGTGATGGAGCAAATGAAGATGAAAGTTTTTCTTTTTTGGGCCACCCTGCCTTGGTGGGAAATGGCCGATGTGTGAGCGTGTTAGATAGGAGTGAATGGAGACGAATGGTACTTGGGACCTGACGATCTGTTGGAGTGTGAGCAGGGTAATATTTAGTGAAGGGATTCAGGGAAACCGGTTATTTTCATATAGTCGGACTTGAGTCCTGGAAATGGGAAGTACAATGCCTGCACTTTAAAGGAGTGGTTTGGGATATTGGCAGTTTGGAGGGATATGTTGTGTATCTTTATACGTATATGCTTCTAAACTGTTGTATTCTGGGCACCTCTGCAAAAGCAGTGATAATGTGTGAGTGTGGTGAAAGTGTTGAATGATGATGAAAGTATTTTCTTTTTGGGGATTTTCTTTCTTTTTTGGGTCACCCTGCCTCGGTGGGAGACGGCCGACTTGTTGAAAAAAAAAAAAAAAATAATAATAATAATAAAAAAAATCCACAGAGCTTCAGTCTGCTTGCCAGGCCACAAACCTGGCCATTCTATCATAGTTCTTGTTAAACAAGAGTAAGTCTACAGCAAGAATCCACAAACATTTAGTACGGTATTAAATTATACAAATTTGGATTAACTGCAAAGGTTAACAAATCAGTATCATATAATTAAACATTCCCATTCCATTACCAATAATACATGTACACAGATGTATTTCTACAACCAATGAACATGTTGCTGCTGATGATAGAGTGAATGAATGCTTAAATGAGAAAATTGTAGTGGAGGTGCAGCATGCCTCTTCACTGAGGCTTGCTTATGACACCAGCCTACTACCCAAACAGATCACATTCTAAATTCCCAACTCCTTGCTAGGGCAAAAGTGTTTATTTTATGGATGGGACAGTACCAAAAATTTTTGCCAATACTGATAACTATTTGATTTCAGGCCAATACTGATAACCACTGTTACCAATACTTTAGCATACCCCTAGTTTATTTGGCTAATAAAGTGAAGGAACATTTACAGATAAAAATCAGTAATATTTTATTAACAGTAATATTTTGAGAGAACGTGGAGGAGTTTTATTTCCCAGCTGAGTACTCGAGTCTAAATTTAAATAAATTAATTCTAAAGAGGCATTTTTTATTACCTTATTTTTGAGACTTGTTTGCGAAACTAGTTGTGCATGGTACAAAAGACCATATTTTGGGGTGGCATGTCTAGTCTTCAATGCCCGGAAGAGAGCTTTCTCTGCACCAAGGATCTGGATGGTAGAAGATGGGTGCTTGGCCAAGTTAATGAGAGAGCCAGCATGTGCAATTAGGCGAGCGCCCACTAGCTCACCCACCAAAATGGTGACATTGGGTGCAATGGCTACCATTCTATTCTGCAGGTATTCACTAAGTTGACCACGATACTCTGTTAGCTCTAGTACCTGTAAATGATAATTTCAAAATAAAAAGATGTAGAAACATACACAAACATGTACTTGTAGAATCACTACTACATTACATTCATGGGGAGAATCCTGAACCCATAGGGGGTCATACAACACCTGGAAAGAATGGGAGGTAATCATGTTCAATCCAAGGAAAAGTAAGACAGGTCAAATTCCTTGAATCAAGAGCCCCTCACCAGAATCAAGGAACCTCCTTTAAGGGAGGGGATTCACACACACTACACTATGTTTGTTAAACAAATAATGGTACCACCTACTACAGCCAGGTGGCTCCCGTCACATTTGGGGTTCAATCCCCAATGTGAACTGAGAAATGCCACATAAAAACAGAAACTGTATTATAATTATTTTTAGGGGTAAAGCCATGTCTGAGGAATGGGAAGCAATCAGGTTCAATCCAAAGAGAGGAAGGAAAGTCCAATATCTTGGATCATGAGCATGTCACCAGTATCAAGAAACCTCTCATGAGAGAAGAAATGGCAGCCAATGGTCATCTGGAAAATTTAAGTGTAGCCTTCATGAATATTAATGCAATGCATTCCAGGACCTTTATACAACTAATGTCAGGACATCTTTGAGTATGAGGCACCATCATTGAACTCGCACATAAGAAAGCATGTTAAGAAATTGGAGAGTGCTGAGGTGTGCAACAAGACTAATTCTAGGAGTATGAGCTATAAGGAGACTCAGAATTGATTTTAACGACGCTTGAGGAAGAAAAACCAAGAAATACAAAAAATACTCGAGAGGAACTGATAGGATAGACAGAGATGGGAAACAAGTACTCAGGGGCACAGTTGGAAGTTAAAGACACAGATGAACCACAGGGATGTCAAGAAGTATTTATTCAGTCTCAGGGTGGTCAGAAAGTGGAATGATCTTGAAGTAATGGAAGTAGACTTCATACATAATTTTAAGACCAAGTATAATAGGCTACACAAGACTAGAAGTGAATCTGGCAAGTGGGAAGTTGAGAGGCAAGGCCAGAAGCTGAGACTCAACTCCTGCAACTACAAATAGGTGAATATGTGACCTTAACTTGCACCAATCTCCTGAGAACCAAGCACAGTGGAGTTGGTTTCCATCACTCTCCTGCTCTATACTAACAGTTCCATTCAAACCAGGTGAAATGGTAGATCTAGAGAATATACAGAAAACCTTCATGTATAAATTCAATCAAGCAACTTAATTACTGGGAATGTTTGAAGTCCCTTGACCTGTACTCCCTGAACATAGGCAAGAAAGATGCATCATATTCTACACCTGGAAAATCCTAAAGGAGCTAGTCCCAAATCTACACATAGAAATCACTCCCTATGAAAGCAAAGGACTAGGCAGATGGTGCAACATGCCAGAAGCTGAGACTCAACTCCTGCAACTACAAATAGGTGAATATGTGACCTTAACTTGCACCAATCTCCTGAGAACCAAGCACAGTGGAGTTGGTTTCCATCACTCTCCTGCTCTATACTAACAGTTCCATTCAAACCAGGTGAAATGGTAGATCTAGAGAATATACAGAAAACCTTCATGTATAAATTCAATCAAGCAACTTAATTACTGGGAATGTTTGAAGTCCCTTGACCTGTACTCCCTGAACATAGGCAAGAAAGATGCATCATATTCTACACCTAGAAAATCCTAGAGGAGCTAGTCCCATATCTACACACAGAAATCACTCCCTATGAAAGCAAAGAACTAGGCAGATGGTGCAACATACCCCCAATGAAAAGCAGGGATGTCAAGAGTACATTAAGAGAAAAACACAATATGTGTCCAGTGCCCAAGACTGTCCAACAGTTTCCCACCATACATAAGGGTAATTATCAGAAGACCCCTGGGTGCCTTCGAGAGGAAACTAGGCAGATACCTAGTCAGTGCCCAATCAGCCGGGCTGTGTGGCTTGTACACTGGATTGTGTGCAGCCAGCAATAACAGCCTGGTTGATCAGGCTGATCCAATGGGAGGCCTGGTTAAGGATTGGGCCGCAGGGGTGTTGACCCTCATGATGACCTCCAGGTAGTTTTATAACATTCTTAATCTTATTATAAAATAATTTATTTTATGCTTTAACAAATGTTATCATGAAAGATTTAAATTCTTTTGATACTTAGCTCATGGTATACCTTTTCTGAAGTAGATTATTTTATTAACTGGTAAATATAAATAAATCAATAGTAAATTTCACGACTACTTGTTATCTTTAACTAAAGGATTATCATCACCTGTTCGCACAAATTGCGGATATTTAAGATATCGTCATCAGCAACTTCAGTACCCATTGACATTTCAGCTGCTTCTTTTACTTTCTCCTCAATTTCTTCAGGCAGAATTTCAGAAAAGTCTGTACTTACAGCTTTGTCTCTAGTACCTGCAACAAGATATAATAGAATGATTATCATTACATTCATGAAAATCTGGGTGTTACCTAATTTAGAACTGACAAATATAAGAACATGTGGCTAAAAATAGGGTTACATTCAACAACCAACAAAAATAACAAACAGCTGTGTGGTAGGTATGTTTGAGGTACCAGGTGTAAATGATAATGGGAGCCCTTTGATTGAACTTTGTATAGAAAGGGGTTTAGTTATAGTAATACATATTTTAAGAAAATAGAGGATAAATAAGTATACAAGATATGCTGTAGGGCGTAATGACAGAAGTTTGTTAGATTATGTATTGGTACATATAAGGCTTATAAACTTAAAGAGGAGGCAGTTAGGGTAAGACACGAGAGGTTTTTACAAAGTAGAAGTGATGCAAGGAGGGAAGAGTATATGAAGAAAAAAGAGAGGTTAGGAGAATGGTGAAGCAATGTAAAAAGAGAGCAAATGAGAGAGTGTGAGATGTTATCAACAAATTTGTTGAAAATAAGAACAAAGTTTTGGACTAATAAGTTGAGGAAGCCTAGGGAATGAATGGATTTGACAGTTAAAAATAGGAGAGAAGAGTTATTAAATGGTGAGTTAGAGGTATCAAGAAGATGGAGGGAATATTTTGAGGAACTGTTAAATGTTGATGAAGATAGGGAAGCTGTATTTCATGTATAGGGCAAGGAGGAATAACATCTTGTAGGAATGAGGAAGAGCCAGTTGTGAGTGTGAGGGAAGTTCGTGAGGCAGTGGGTAGAATCAAAGGGGGCAAGGCAGCTGGGATTGATGGGATAAAGATGGAAATGTTAAAAGCAGGTGTGGATATAGTTTTGGAGTGGTTGGTGTTATTATTTAACCCTTTCAGGGTCCGTGCCGTAGATCTACGGCTATACGATGAGGGTCCAAACCGTAGATCTACGCCAAAATTCTAGCGGCGTCAAATTTAGTGAGAGAAGGATGGTAGGCCTAGTCTACACCTGAGAAAACAGGTCTGCACGGTGTGTGTGTAAACAAAAATTCTAGGCACTGTGGGAATGCCGAGTCAGTAACCTTTGTTCACAATGCCTTGTCGCAAAGCAGCTCTCATTCCGAGGTGAATTGGGACTCTCCTCTTCGTAACTGATAGTTTTGACTCTGATGGAAGTGGAAATGAAGAATAATTCTATGGCTTTAATCGATTAGTGACCGAAAGCAATGACCAGGATATCGAAAATAGTGCAGAAAATCCTGACGATCCTCAACCTTCTACCTCTGGTGTGGCCACGTCTCAGTCACGTTCAGTTGTATCTCGTTGCAAGAAAAAACTAATATTTTCACGTGGCCAGGCTTCAGACTTCAGTAATGATGATAGTGATGTGGGACATCTCATATTTATGTTTATTTATTCTATTGTGGGGTGTATTTATCATCTTTATATGTTATATATCGTGTTTATTATATAATTTTGAAAAAAATATCATGGATGAATTAATGAAAATGTGTATATTAACATAATATAAGACATTTAACCCTTTGACTGTCGCGGCTGTATATATGCATCTTACGAGGTACCGTGTTTGACGTATATATACTCAAATTCTAGCAGCTTCAAATCAAGGAGAAAGCTGGTAGGCCCACATGTGAGAGAATGGGTCTGTGTGGTCAGTGTGCACCACATAAAAAAAATCCTGGAGCACGCAGTGCATAATGAGAAAAAAAAACTCCGACCCTTTTTTTTTTAATTAAAATGCCGACTTTGTGGTCTATTTTCGTATAGTATTTATGGTTGCATTCTCGTTTTCTTGGTCTCATTTGATAGAATGGAAAACATATTATAGAAAAAGAGATGATTTTGACTGATTTTACTATAAAAAGAACCTGGAAATGGAGCTCAAAGTAGGGGAAATGTTTGATTTTTGCTGATGTTCAAAAGTAAACAAATGACATTATTGTCCAATAAATGTCCAACTAGCCATTCTAATATGCAGTCAAGAATGGGTTGATGTTATTTATACAATTATTACAGTATTGGAGTAGCCTGTATAATAGTAAATCTTCTATTTTTTGTTTGAATAAAAATTCAACATAGAAAGCAAGAGTAATATCAGAGGGACCTGGAGACATGACTGATGAACAAAGAAAATGTTATTTTAGAGCCAGGAATGTCTGCATTGTTCATTCTGGACCTTATTTTGAAATTGTCATATTTTTTAATTTTCGTGAAATTGGCCAAATTGCAAATTTCTGACCATGTTATTGGGTAGTTGAAATTGGTAAATGGGCAGTTTCTTGTACTCAATCGATAGAAAAAATGGAGTTCTAAAGAAATAGCTATGAGTTTGGTCGACTGGCACAATGGAATTAGCCGAAAATAGGGCTCAAAGTGGGCGAAAGCGCCGATTTGTAAATATCGCCAAGGTCGCTAACTTCATGAGAGCGTAATTCAGTCAGTTTTCCATCAAATTTTGTCTTTTTGGTCTCATTACAATCGGGAAAAGATTCTCCATCATTTCATAAGAAAAAATAATTTTTTTTTTTAAATTTTGTGATACCAGGAGACACCTCAGGATTGGGGGTTGCAAGAGTCAAGGGGTTAATGAGACTCTGTGATTATTATTATTTCTAATATGGCATCATTTGTGCAAGTCGTCTGCTACCACATCTCATTTTTTTTTTCAACAAGTTGGCCGTCTCCCACCGAGGCAGGGTGACCCAAAAAACAAAGAAAATCCCCAAAAAGAAAATACAGTGGACCCCCAGTTTACAACATTATTTCATTCCAGGAGTATGTTCAGGTGCCAGTACTGAACGAATTTGTTCCCATAAGGAATATTGTGAATTAGATTAGTCCATTTCAGACCCCCAAACATACACGTACAAACGCACTTACATAAATACACTTACATAATTGGTCGCATTGGGAGCTGATCGTAAAGCGGGGGTCCACTGTACTTTCATCATCATTCAACACTTTCACCACACTCACACATTATCACTGTTTTTGCAGAGGTGCTCAGAATACAACAGTTTAGAAGCATATACGTATAAAGATACACAACATATCCCTCCAAACTGCCAATATCCCAAACCCCTCCTTTAAAGTGCAGGCATTGTACTTCCCATTTCCAGGACTCAAGTCCGACTATATGAAAATTACCGGTTACCTTGAATCCCTTCACTAAATATTACCCTGCTCACACTCCAACAGATCGTTAGGTCCCAAGTACCATTCGTCTCCATTCACTCCTATCTAACACGCTCACACACGCTTGCTGGAAGTCCAAGCCCCTCGCCCACAAAACCTCCTTAACCCCCTCTCTCCAACCCTTTCGAGGACAACCCCTACCCCTCCTTCCTTCCCCTATAGATTTATATGCTTTCCATGTCATTCTACTTTGATCCATTCTCTCTAAATGACCAAACCACCTCAACAACCCCTCTTCTGCCCTCTGACTAATGCTTTTATTAACTCCACACCTTTTCCTAATTTCCACACTCCGAATTTTCTGCATAATATTTACACCACACATTGCTCTTAGACAGGACATCTCCACCGCCTCCAACTGTCTCCTCGCTGCTGCATTTACCACCCAAGCTTCACATCCATATAAGAGTGTTGGTACTACTATACTTTCATACATGTATGTGTAGTGTGACCTAAGTGTAAGTAGAAGTAGCAAGACATGCCTGTAATCTTGCATATTTATGAGACAGACAAAAGACACCAGCAATCCTACCGTCACGTAAAACAATTACAGGTTTTCGGTTTACACTCACTTGGCAGGACGGTAGTACCTCCCTGGGTGGTTGCTGTCTACCAACCTACTACCTACTCATCTCATATTTATGTTTGTTTATTCTACTGTGGGGTGTATTTATCATCTTTATATGTTATGCATCGTGTTTATTATATATTTTTGAAAAATATCATAGATGGATTAATGAAAATATGTATATTAACGTAATATACAACATTTACTGAGACTCGATGATTATTATCATTACTAATATGACGTCTCGAGACATAAGACACTCTTACTGGTTTTAATGTGCACCTGCACGCTAGCACAGTAAGCAAGTTTATTTAGGTACAGGTATACATAAGTATAATTATCAGAGTATATATAAAATATGAAATATCTTTTAAAAACATGAAATTTTGTTGTTTCCAGACTTAATGGAGAGACTTTGTGCTTGGATCTCACACAGAATGTAAACAAACCGGGTGGGGCACGGTGACCGTATTAGAAAGTCAGGTGCGGGGAGCCGTATAGCGAGTTTTGGTCATAATTTGAAATGGCCGTATTAGCGGAACGCCGTAAAGCGAAACACCATAAAGCGGGGCCCTAGTGTATATGGCTGGAGAAACAGAAAAATGGAACTCAAACCATGGTCCTGGTAGCAGCAGGCCCAACACTTTACAAGTGGAATGAATAGTTGTAATAGTTAATATTCTATTGTTTTACTACTGTGAACCCTCCATATAACGGTCTTCAGAAACACACAACAAAATTCAGTGTCAATCGACTCGGAAACAATGGTAAACATCCACTGGATACAATGCCTGCACTCTAAAGGAGGGGTTTGGGATATTGGCAGTTTGGAGGGATATATTGTGTATTTTTATACGTATACTTCTAAACTGTTGTATTCTGAGCACCTCTGCAAAAAAGTGATTGCATGTGAGTGAGGTGAAAGTGTTGAATGATGATGAAAGTATTTTCTTTTTGGGGATTTTCTTTCTTTTTTGGTCACCCTGCCTCGGTGCTGTAACAAAATGGTTTTTGTTACTATCATGGTAAAACAGTCTCTACTTTATCCACCATGATTCTCATTACCACCCACCTGCGTCCCTCTACTAGTTCATTTATAGGGAGGGTTTACTATACTTCCTACCTTTTCTTCACCTGTATCCCACATTTTATATTTTCATTAGTATAGTGTAGGTTGGTAGACAGCAACCACCCAGAGAAGTACTACTGTCCTGCCAGATGACTGTGAAACAGAAACCTGTAACTGTTTTGCATGATGGTAGGATTGCTGGTGTCTTTTTCTGTCTCAAACACGCTAGATAACAGGGATATCTTGCTAATCCAACTTACACTTTGGTCACACTTCACAGACATGCACATGCATATATATATATACATACATCTAGGTTTTTCTCCTTTTTCTACATAGCTCTTGTTCTTCTTTATTTCTTCTATTGTCCATGGGGAAGTGGAAAAGAATCTTTCCTCCGTAAGCCATGCGTGTCGTATGAGGCGACTAAAATGCCGGGAGCAATGGGCTAGTAACCCCTTCTCCTGTAGACATTTACTAAAAAAGAGAAGAAGAAAAACTTTATAAAACTGGGATGCCTGAATGTGCGTGGATGTAGTGCAGATGACAAGAAACAGATGATTGCTGATGTTATGAATGAAAAGAAGTTGGATGCCCTGGCCCTAAGCGAAACAAAGCTGAAGGGGGTAGGGGAGTTTCGGTGGGGGGAAATAAATGGGATTAAATCTGTAGTATCTGAGAGAGTTAGAGCAAAGGAAGGGGTAGCAGTAATGTTGAATGATCAGTTATGGAAGGAGAAAAGAGAATATGAATGTGTAAATGCAAGAATTATGTGGATTAAAGTAAAGGTTGGATGCGAGAAGTGGGTCATAATAAGCGTGTATGCACCTGGAGAAGAGAGGAATGCAGAGGAGAGAGAGAGATTTTGGGAGATGTTAAGTGAATGTATAGGAGCCTTTGAACCAAGTGAGAGAGTAATTGTGGTAAGGGACCTGAATGCTAAAGTAGGAGAAACTTTTAGAGAGGGTGTGGTAGGTAAGTTTGGGGTGCCAGGTGTGAAATGATAATGGGAGCCCTTTGATTGAACTTTGTATAGAAAGGGGTTTAGTTATAGGTAATACATATTTTAAGAAAAAGAGGATAAATAAGTATACAAGATATGATGTAGGGCGAAATACAGTAGTTTGTTGGATTATGTATTGGTAGATAAAAGACTGTTGAGTAGACTTCAGGATGTACATGTTTATAGAGGGGCCACAGATATATCAGATCACTTTCTAGTTGTAGCTACACTGAGAGTAAAAGGTAGATGGGATACAAGGAGAATAGAAGCATCAGGGAAGAGAGAGGTGAAGGTTTTTAAACTAAAAGAGGAGGCAGTTAGGGAAAGATATAAACAGCTATTGGAGGATAGATGGGCTAATGAGAGCACAGGCAATGGGGTCGAAGAGGTATGGGGTAGGTTTAAAAAATGTAGTGTTAGAGTGTTCAGCAGAAGTTTGTGGTTACAGGAAAGTGGGTGCAGGAGGGAAGAGGAGCGATTGGTGGAATGATGATGTAAAGAGAGTAGTAAGGGAGAAAAAGTTAGCATATGAGAAGTTTTTACAAAGTAGAAGTGATGCAAGGAGGGAAGAGTATATGGAGAAAAAGAGAGAGGTTAAGAGAGTGGTGAAGCAATGTAAAAAGAGAGCAAATGAGAGAGTGGGTGAGATGTTATCAACAAATTTCGTTGAAAATAAGAAAAAGTTTTGGAGTGAGATTAACAAGTTAAGGAAACCGAGAGAACAAATGGATTTGTCAGTTAAAAATAGGAGAGTTATTAAATGGAGAGTTAGAGGTATTGGGAAGATGGAGGGAATATTTTGAGGAATTGTTAAATGTTGATGAAGATAGGGAAGCTGTGATTTCGTGTATAGGCCAAGGAGGAATAACATCTTGTAGGAGTGAGGAAGAGCCAGTTGTGAGTGTGGGGGAAGTTCGTGAGGCAGTAGGTAAAATGAAAGGGGGTAAGGCAGCTGGGATTGATGGGATAAAGATAGAAATGTTAAAAGCAGGTGGGGATATAGTTTTGGAGTGGTTGGTGCAATTATTTAATAAATGTATGGAAGAGGGTAAGGTACCTAGGGATTGGCAGAGAGCATGCATAGTTCCTTTGTATAAAGGCAAAGGGGACAAAAGAGAGTGCAAAAAGTATAGGGGGATAAGTCTGTTGAGTATACCTGGTAAAGTGTATGGTAGAGTTATTATTGAAAGAATTAAAAGTAAGACAGAATAGGATAGCAGATGAACAAGGAGGCTTTAGGAAAGGTAGGGGGTGTGTGGACCAGGTGTTTACAGTGAAACATATAAGTGAACAGTATTTAGATAAGGCTAAAGAGGTCTTTGTGGCATTTATGGATTTGGAAAAGGCGTATGACAGGGTGGATAGGGGGGCAATGTGGCAGATGTTGCAGGTGTATGGTGTAGGAGGCAGGTTATTGAAAGCAGTGAAGAGTTTTTACGAGGATAGTGAGGCTCAAGTTAGAGTATGTAGGAAAGAGGGAAATTATTTCCCAGTAAAAGTAGGCCTTAGACAGGGATGTGTGATGTCACCGTGGTTGTTTAATATATTTATAGATGGGGTTGTAAGAGAAGTAAATGCGAGGGTCTTGACAAGAGGCGTGGAGTTAAAAGATAAGGAATCACACAAAGTGGGAGTTGTCACAGTTGCTCTTTGCTGATGACACTGTGCTCTTGGGAGATTCTGAAGAGAAGTTGCAGAGATTGGTGGATGAATTTGGTAGGGTGTGCAAAAGAAGAAAATTAAAAGTGAATACAGGAAAGAGTAAGGTTATGAGGATAACAAAAATATTAGGTGATGAAAGATTGGATATCAGATTGGAGGGAGAGAGTATGGAGGAGGTGAATGTATTCAGATATTTGGGAGTGGACGTGTCAGCGGATGGGTCTATGAAGGATGAGGTGAATCATAGAATTGATGAGGGGAAAAGGGGTGAGTGGTGCACTTAGGAGTCTGTGGAGACAAAGAACTTTGTCCTTGGAGGCAAAGAGGGAATGTATGAGAGTATAGTTTTACCAACACTCTTATATGGGTGTGAAGCATGGGTGATGAATGTTGCAGCGAGGAGAAGGCTGGAGGCAGTGGAGATGTCATGTCTGAGGGCAATGTGTGGTGTGAATATAATGCAGAGAATTCGTATTTTGGAAGTTAGGAGGAGGTACGGGATTACCAAAACTGTTGTCCAGAGGGCTGAGGAAGGGTTGTTGAGGTGGTTCGGACATGTAGAGAGAATGGAGCGAAACAGAATGACTTCAAGAGTGTATCAGTCTGTAGAAGGAAGGCGGGGTAGGGGTCGGCCTAGGAAAGGTTGGAGGGAGGGGGTAAAGGAGGTTTTGTGGGGGGCTTGGACTTCCAGCAGGCATGCGTGAGCGTGTTTGATAGGAGTGAATGGAGACGAATGGTTTTTAATACTTGACGTGCTGTTGGAGTGTGAGCAAAGTAACATTTATGAAGGGGTTCAGGGAAAACGGCAGGCCGGACTTGAGTCCCGGAGATGGGAAGTACAGTGCCTGCACTCTGAAGGAGGGGTGTTAATGTTGCAGTTTAAAAAACTGTAGTGTAAAGCACCCTTCTGGCAAGACAGTGATGGAGTGAATGATGGTGAAAGTTTTTCTTTTTCGGGCCACCCTGCCTTGGTGGGAATCGGCCAGATAAAAAAAAAAAAAAAAAAAAAAAAAAAAAAAAAAAAAAAAAAAAAAAAATAATAATAATAATAATAATAGTATAGTGTACCATCAATAATAAATTCTTACCCACTGCCATTATTGTTCGGATATAGACCTGATTGTCAGTGATGATTTTACCAAGCTCTGGAAAATGCCATCCATACCATTCCCGTGTCCTCATAATATAGTTGTTTAATTCTTTATCAATGTCATCAAGAAGGGATATTGCTTGTACTATCATGGTATCAACTTTATCGGGTGAAAATTTGAGCTTGTACCGAGCCAAACTGCAAAGATAATCACACAATATAAATATAAACAGAGCATTGAAGACTATGAGCTGAATAGTATCATAAATTAATATAGAACAAAAATTAAAGTTAAACAGGACATAGTGTTGATTTTAATAATAATTCTCACATTTTCAATAACTGTATATTTGAAAATTATTTAAGCCTACACACACTTTGTCTAACATAATAAATAAAATATTCGTTATTGTATATTGAGATTTTGTACATAACAGTACGGGTTACTAACTCTTTGTCAACTATGTTTGATGTGAAACCACATAACCAACTACATACATGCACATGAAATTTCTTATCTTTCTAAGCTTTTAAAATGATTACTACTGACTTCAAAGGTGGTGCCTTGATGCTAAAGGGCTCTTAATTCAGGGATTTGGAGCTACCCTCTCTTTCCATGGATTAAATCTGATTGCCTCTCATTCTATGTACTTTATGATCTACAAAGGTATAGTGCATCCCATGATGTAAATGACAAATCAAAGATAACATTAAGCAAACACTGTTATTATTACATCAATGTTATTACTGTGCATATATGAGGGGTTGCTAAGCCCACAGAGGTTATACATCTGGAGGAATGGGAGGCATTAAGCTTAGATCCAAGGAAGCCTAATTCCTTGGGACAAAAGGCACTCTCTAGTATCAAGGAATAACCTTTGAGGGGTGGGAAATGAGAGGTAATCAGATTTGATCCAAGGAAGGAACACTTCACAGGTATCAAGGCACCCCTTAGAAAGGATAAGTGTCCATAACAATCCTGAAACAAAGCTGACAAGTGTGACACTATAATAAATGCCTGAAAGTAACAATACTCCTGAAAGGTAAACTCTTTAGAATGATTCCAATTAGCCCTGAAAATGTATTATAGTCTTACTTGTGACCAAGTCCTAATGACATAGCAGCCAGTTCTTTCTCCTGCAAGCCTGGGATGAGAGCTTCCACTTGTGACTTGATACATCTCATCAGCTCACTCACAGTGTTGTTGGTTACACATTGCACATCAAAGTTCTCCTGAAAATTTTTCATTAGTGTTTAAAAAGGGAAACAAATGTGTACATAAGTAAAAGGTACATGAAAATGTAGCTGTACTGTAAATCTAGTGCCTTCACTAAGCAACACATTAGCCTGTTATGATACAGTATTGAGGCTGTACTATGAAATGTTTGTATTAATAGAGATCTCATAAATAATCTTACAAAACAGAACCAGGCTTTTCTTTCTTTCTTCTTTCTCTCCTCTAACCCAACTCTGTCAACTCTAGAGTTCATCAATATTAGCCTCTGTACTATACATCATATGAAATAAAGTGTGATGACAAAAAGTATACTCAATTGTGCCACTTAATAATCAAAACTGTAATTCTTCTCTACCAAACTTGTACATCCAACTGTTATACTCCTTTGTACAAACAAGTGTCATGCTGAAATAAAATTATCATCATTACTTTTTATATTAAAAGACAGAGTATAGGCCTGAAGCCTACAGCTGCTCTGAAAGTCAGGTCTTGACAACAAAAGCAATGATGCAGCTCAAGGCTAGCTAATAGTTTACTGCAAAACTATTTAAAAAATTAAAACTCAGGAGAGTCATCAGGATTGTATTTTATTTTCTATTTAAAAATACAAGTTATTTTCACGGGTTATACACCTGGACGTACCTTAATTGAAATTCCAAGTTTTTTTATCCCATACCATCAGTTCCTCATTTGATACTTGTGAAAACACCTTCTTCAAGAGTTTCTTCAGTGGTTTACATAATTTACCTTCATTCAGTGCAACTCCTGCTTGCAAAGCATCAGCTGAATCAGAAAATTTCTTGAATTCTGGGCCCCAAAATTCAGCGGCTCAAATTTTTGTGAAAAAGGAGGGTAGGCCTGTCTACACTGAGAAAACGGTCTGCAGTGTGTGTGTAAACAAAATTCTAGGCACTGTGGGGATGCCGAGTCAGTAACCTTTGTTCACAATGCCTTGTCGCAAAGCAGCTCCCCATTCCGAGGTGAATTGGGAACCTCCTCTTCGTAACTGATAGTTTTGACTCTGATGGAAGTGGAAATGAAGAATAATTCTATGGCTTTAATCGATTAGTGACCGAAAGCAATGACCAGGATATCGAAAATAGTGCAGAAAATCCTGACGATCCTCAACCTTCTACCTCTGGTGTGCCACGTCTCAGTCACGTTCAGTTGTATCTCGTTGCAAGAAAAAACTAATATTTTCACGTGGCCAGGCTTCAGACTTCAGTAATGATGATAGTGATGTGGGACATCTCATATTTATGTTTATTTATTCTATTGTGGGGTGTATTTATCATCTTTATATGTTATATATCGTGTTTATTATATAATTTTGAAAAAAATATCATGGATGAATTAATGAAAATGTGTATATTAACATAATATAAGACATTTTAAACCCTTTGACTGTCGCGGCTGTATATATGCATCTTACGAGGTACCGTGTTTGACGTATATATACTCAAATTCTAGACAGCTTCAAATCAAGGAGAAAGTGTAGGCCCACATGTGATGAGAATGGGTCTGTGTGGTCAGTGTGCACCACATAAAAAAAATCCTGGAGCACGCAGTGCATAATGAGAAAAAAAAACTCCGACCCTTTTTTTTTAATTTAAAATGCCGACTTTGTGGTCTATTTTCGTATAGTATTTATGGTTGCATTCTCGTTTTCTTGGTCTCATTTGATAGAATGGAAAACATATTATAGAAAAAGAGATGATTTTGACTGATTTTACTATAAAAAGAACCTGGAAATGGAGCTCAAAGTAGGGGAAATGTTTGATTTTTGCTGATGTTCAAAAGTAAAACAAATGACATTATTGTCCAATAAATGTCCAACTAGCCATTCTAATATGCAGTCAAGAATGGGTTGATGTTATTTATACAATTATTACAGTATTGGAGTAGCCTGTATAATAGTAAATCTTCTATTTTTTGTTTGAATAAAAATTCAACATAGAAAGCAAGAGTAATATCAGAGGGACCTGGGACATGACTGATGAACAAAGAAAATGTTATTTTAGAGCCAGGAATGTCTGCATTGTTCATTCTGGACCTTATTTTGAAATTGTCATATTTTTAATTTTCGTGAAATTGGCCAAATTGCAAATTTCTGACCATGTTATTGGGTAGTTGAAATTGGTAAATGGGCAGTTTCTTGTACTCAATCGATAGAAAAAATGGAGTTCTAAAGAAATAGCTATGAGTTTGGTCGACTGGCACAATGGAATTAGCCGAAAATAGGGCTCAAAGTGGGCGAAAGCGCCGATTTGTAAATATCGCCAAGGTCGCTAACTTCATGAGAGCGTAATTCAGTCAGTTTTCCATCAAATTTTGTCTTTTTGGTCTCATTACAATCGGAAAAGATTCTCCATCATTTCATAAGAAAAATAATTTTTTTTTTTAAATTTTGTGATACCAGGAGACACCTCAGGATTGGGGTTGCAAGAGTCAAGGGGTTAATGAGACTCTGTGATTATTATTATTTCTAATATGGCATCATTTGTGCAAGTCGTCTGCTACCACATCTCATTTTTTTTTTCAACAAGTTGGCCGTCTCCCACCGAGGCAGGGTGACCCAAAAAACAAAGAAAATCCCCAAAAAGAAAATACAGTGGACCCCCAGTTTACAACATTATTTCATTCCAGGAGTATGTTCAGGTGCCAGTACTGAACGAATTTGTTCCCATAAGGAATATTGTGAATTAGATTAGTCCATTTCAGACCCCACAAAACAACACGTACAAACGCACTTACATAAATACACTTACATAATTGGTCGCATTGGGAGCTGATCGTAAAGCGGGGGTCCACTGTACTTTCATCATCATTCAACACTTATCACCACACTCACACATTATCACTGTTTTTGCAGAGGTGCTCAGAATACAACAGTTTAGAAGCATATACGTATAAAGATACACAACATATCCCTCCAAACTGCCAATATCCCAAAACCCCTCCTTTAAAGTGCAGGCATTGTACTTCCCATTTCCAGGACTCAAGTCCGACTATATGAAAATTACCGGTTACCTTGAACCCTTCACTAAATATTACCCTGCTCACACTCCAACAGATCGTTAGGTCCCAAGTACCATTCGTCTCCATTCACTCCTATCTAACACGCTCACACACGCTTGCTGGAAGTCCAAGCCCCTCGCCCACAAAACCTCCTTAACCCCCTCTCTCCAACCCTTTCGAGGACAACCCCTACCCCTCCTTCCTTCCCCTATAGATTTATATGCTTTCCATGTCATTCTACTTGATCCATCTCTCTAAATGACCAAACCACCTCAACAACCCCTTCTTCTGCCCCTCTGGACTAATGCTTTATTTAACTCCACACCTTTTCCTAATTTCCACACTCCGATTTTCTGCATAATATTTACACCACACATTGCTCTTAGACAGGACATCTCCACCGCCTCCAACGTCTCCTCGCTGCTGCATTTACCACCCAAGCTTCACATCCATATAAGAGTGTTGGTACTACTATACTTTCATACATGTATGTGTAGTGTGACCTAAGTGTAAGTAGAAGTAGCAAGACATGCCTGTAATCTTGCAATTTATGAGACAGACAAAAGACACCAGCAATCCTACCGTCACGTTAAAACAATTACAGGTTTTCGGTTTACACTCACTTGGCAGGACGGTAGTACCTCCCTGGGTGGTTGCTGTCTACCAACCTACTACCTACTCATCTCATATTTATGTTTGTTTATTCTACTGTGGGGTGTATTTATCATCTTTATATGTTATGCATCGTGTTTATTATATATTTTTGAAAAATATCATAGATGGATTAATGAAAATATGTATATTAACGTAATATACAACATTTACTGAGACTCGATGATTATTATCATTACTAATATGACGTCTCGAGACATAAGACACTCTTACTGGTTTTAATGTGCACCTGCACGCTAGCACAGTAAGCAAGTTTATTTAGGTACAGGTATACATAAGTATAATTATCAGAGTATATATAAAATATGAAATATCTTTTAAAAACATGAATTTTGTTGTTTCCAGACTTAATGGAGGAAGACTTTGTGCTTGGATCTCACACAGAATGTAAACAAACCGGGTGGGGCAACGGTGACCGTATTAGAAAGTCAGGTGCGGGGAGCCGTATAGCGAGTTTTGGTCATAATTTGAAATGGCCGTATTAGCGAAACGCCGTAAAGCGAAACACCATAAAGCGGGGCCCTAGTGTATATGGCTGGAGAAACAGAAAAATGGAACTCAAACCATGGTCCTGGTAGCAGCAGGCCCAACACTTTACAAGTGGAATGAATAGTTGTAATAGTTAATATTCTATTGTTTTACTACTGTGAACCCTCCATATAACGGTCTTCAGAAACACACAACAAAATTCAGTGTCAATCGACTCGGAAACAATGGTAAACATCCACTGGATACAATGCCTGCACTCTAAAGGAGGGTTTGGGATATTGGCAGTTTGGAGGGATATATTGTGTATTTTAATACGTATACTTCTAAACTGTTGTATTCTGAGCACCTCTGCAAAAAGTGATTGCATGTGAGTGAGGTGAAAGTGTTGAATGATGATGAAAGTATTTTCTTTTTGGGGATTTTCTTTCTTTTTTGGTCACCCTGCCTCGGTGCTGTAACAAAATGGTTTTTGTTACTATCATGGTAAAACAGTCTCTACTTTATCCACCATGATTCTCATTACCACCCACCTGCGTCCCCCTACTAGTTCATTTATAGGGAGGGTTTACTATACTTCCTACCTTTTCTTCACCTGTATCCCACATTTTATATTTTCATTAGTATAGTGTAGGTTGTGTAGACAGCAACCACCCGAGAGAAGTACTACTTGTCCTGCCAGATGACTGTGAAACAGAAACCTGTAACTGTTTTGCATGATGTAGGATTGCTGGTGTCTTTTTCTGTCCTCAAACACGCTAGATAACAGGGATATCTTGCTAATCCAACTTACACTTTGGTCACACTTCACAGACATGCACATGCATATATATATATACATACATCTAGGTTTTTCTCCTTTTTCTCTACATAGCTCTTGTCTTCTTTATTTCTTCTATTGTCCATGGGGAAGTGGAAAAGAATCTTTCCTCCGTAAGCCATGCGTGTCGTATGAGGCGACTAAAATGCCGGGAGCAATGGCTAGTAACCCCTTCTCCTGTAGACATTTACTAAAAAAGAGAAGAAGAAAAACTTTATAAAACTGGGATGCCTGAATGTGCGTGGATGTAGTGCAGATGACAAGAAACAGATGATTTGCTGATGTTATGAATGAAAAGAAGTTGATGCCCTGGCCCTAAGCGAAACAAAGCTGAAGGGGTAGGGGAGTTTTCGGTGGGGGAAATAAATGGGATTAAATCTGTAGTATCTGAGAGAGTTAGAGCAAAGGAAGGGGTAGCAGTAATGTTGAATGATCAGTTATGGAAGGAGAAAAGAGAATATGAATGTGTAAATGCAAGAATTATGTGGATTAAAGTAAAGGTTGGATGACGAGAAGTGGGTCATAATAAGCGTGTATGCACCTGGAGAAGAGAGGAATGCAGAGGAGAGAGAGAGATTTTGGGAGATGTTAAGTGAATGTATAGGAGCCTTTGAACCAAGTGAGAGAGTAATTGTGGTAAGGGACCTGAATGCTAAAGTAGGAGAAACTTTTAGAGAGGGTGTGGTAGGTAAGTTTGGGGTGCCAGGTGTAAATGATAATGGGAGCCCTTTGATTGAACTTTGTATAGAAAGGGGTTTAGTTATAGGTAATACATATTTTAAGAAAAAGAGGATAAAAAGTATACAAGATATGATGTAGGGCGAAATACCAGTAGTTTGTTGGATTATGTATTGGTAGATAAAAGACTGTTGAGTAGACTTCAGGATGTACATGTTTATAGAGGGGCCACAGATATATCAGATCACTTTCTAGTTGTAGCACACTGAGAGTAAAAGGTAGATGGGATACAAGGAGAATAGAAGCATCAGGGAAGAGAGAGGTGAAGGTTTATAAACTAAAAGAGGAGGCAGTTAGGGAAAGATATAAACAGCTATTGGAGGATAGATGGGCTAATGAGAGCACAGGCAATGGGGTCGAAGAGGTATGGGGTAGGTTTAAAAATGTAGTGTTAGAGTGTTCAGCAGAAGTTTGTGGTTACAGGAAAGTGGGTGCAGGAGGGAAGAGGAGCGATTGGTGATGATGATGTAAAAGAGAGTAGTAAGGGAGAAAAAAGTTAGCATATGAGAAGTTTTTACAAAGTAGAAGTGATGCAAGGAGGGAAGAGTATATGGAGAAAAAGAGAGAGGTTAAGAGAGTGGTGAAAGCAATGTAAAAAGAGAGCAAATGAGAAGAGTGGGTGAAGATGTTATCAACAAATTTCGTTGAAAATAAAAAAAAGTTTTGGAGTTGAGATTAACAAGTTAAGGAAACCGAGAGAACAAATGGATTTGTCATTAAAAATAGGAGAGTTATTAAATGGAGAGTTAGAGGTATTGGGAAGATTGGAGGAATATTTTGAGGAATTGTTAAATGTTGATGAAGATAGGGAAGCTGTGATTTCGTGTATAGGCCAAGGAGGAATAACATCTTGTAGGAGTGAGGAAGAGCCAGTTGTGAGTGTGGGGAAGTTCGTGAGGCAGTAGGTAAAATGAAAGGGGGTAAGGCAGCTGGGATTGATGGGATAAAGATTAGAAATGTTAAAAGCAGGTGGGGATATAGTTTTGGAGTGGTTGGTGCAATTATTTAATAAATGTATGGAAGAGGGTAAGGTTACCTAGGGATTGGCAGAGAGATGCATAGTTCCTTTGTATAAAGGCAAAGGGGACAAAAAGAGAGTGCAAAAAGTATAGGGGGATAAGTCTGTTGAGTATACCTGGTAAAGTGTATGGTAGAGAATTATTATTGAAAGAATTAAAAGTAAGACAGAATAGGAAGCAGATGAACAAGGAGCTTTAGGAAAGGTAGGGGGTGTGTGTGGACCAGGTGTTTACAGTGAAACATATAAGTGAACAGTATTTAGATAAGGCTAAAGAGGTTTGTGTGGCATTTATGGATTTGGAAAAGGCGTATGACAGGGTGGTATAGGGGGGCAATGTGGCAGATGTTGCAGGTGTATGGTGTAGGAGGCAGGTTAATGAAAGCAGATGAAGAGTTTTTAAAAGAGGATATGAGGTCAAGTTAGAGTATGTAGGAAAGAGGGAAATTATTTCTCCAGTAAAAGTAGGCCTTAGACAGGGATGTGTGATGTCACCGTGGTTGTTTAATATATTTATAGATGGGGTTGTAGAGAAGTAATGCGAGGTCTTGACAAGAGGGTGGAGTTAAAAGATAAGGAATCACACAAAGTGGGAGTTGTCACAGTTGCTCTTTGCTGATGACACTGTGCTCTTGGGAGATTCTGAAGAGAAGTTGCAGAGATTGGTGGATGATTTGGTAGGGTGTGCAAAAGAAGAAAATTAAAAGTGAATACAGGAAAGAGTAAGGTTATGAGGATAACAAAAATATTAGGTGATGAAAGATTGGATATCAGATTGGAGGGAGAGAGTATGGAGAGGTGAATGTATTCAGATATTTGGAGTGACGTGTCAGCGGATGGGTCTATGAAGGAATGAGGTGAATCATAGAATTGATGAGGGGAAAAGGTGAGTGTGCACTTAGGAGTCTGTGGAGACAAAGAACTTTGTCCTTGGAGGCAAAGAGGGGAATGTATGAGAGTATAGTTTACCAACACTCTTATATGGGTGTGAAGCATGGGTGATGAATGTTGCAGCGAGAGAAGGCTGGAGGCAGTGGAGATGTCATGTCTGAGGGCAATGTGTGGTGTGAATATATAAATGCAGAGAATTCGTATTTTGGAAGTTAGGAGGAGGTACGGGATTACCAAAACTGTTGTCCAGAGGGCTGAGGAAGGGTTGTTGAGGGTGGTTCGGACATGTAGAGAGAATGGAGCGAAACAGAATGACTTCAAGAGTGTATCAGTCAGTTAGAAGGAAGGCGGGTAGGGGTCGGCCTAGGAAAGGTTGGAGGGAGGGGTTAAGGAGGTTTTGGTGGCGAGGGGCTGGACTTCCAGCAGCATGCGTGAGCGTGTTTGATAGGAGTGAATGGAGACGAATGGTTTTTAATACTTGACGTGCTGTTGGAGTGTGAGCAAAGAAACATTTATGAAGGGGTTCAGGGAAACGGCAGGCGGACTTGAGTCCCGGAGATGGGGGGAAATACAGTGCCTGCACTCTGAAGGAGGGGTGTTAATGTTGCAGTTTAAAAACTGTAGTGTAAAGCACCCTTCTGGCAGACAGTGATGGAGTGAATGATGGTATGAAAGTTTTTCTTTTTCGGGCCACCCTGCCTTGGTGGGAATCGGCCAGATATAAAAAAAAAAAAAAAAAAAAAAAAAAAAAAAAAAAAAAAAAAAAATAATAAAATAAAAATAATAGTATAGTGTATCCATCATAAATAAATTCTTACCCACTGCCATTATTGTTCGGATATAGACCTGATTGTCAGTGGATGATTTTACCAAGCTCTGGAAAATGCCATCCATACCATTCCCGTGTCCTCATAATATAGTTGTTTAATTCTTTATCAATGTCATCAAGAAGGGATATTGCTTGTACTATCATGGTATCAACTTTATCGGGTGAAAATTTGAGCTTGTACCGAGCCAAACTGCAAAGATAATCACACAATATAAATATAAACAGAGCATTGAAGACTATGAGCTGAATAGTATCATAAATTAATATAGAACAAAAATAAAGTTAAACAGGACATAGTGTTGATTTTAATAATAATTCTCACATTTTCAATAACTGTATATTTGAAAATTATTTAAGCCTACACACCTTTGTCTAACATTAATAAATAAAATATTCGTTTATTGTATATTGAGATTTTGTACATAACAGTACGGGTTACTAACACTTGTCAACTATGTTTGATGTGAAACCACATAACCAACTACATACATGCACATGAAATTTCTTATCTTTCTAAGCTTTTAAAATGATTACTACTGACTTCAAAGGTGGTGCCTTGATGCTAAAGGGCTCTTAATTCAGGATTTGGAGCTACCCTCTCTTTCCATGGATTAAATCTGATTGCCTCTCATTCTATGTACTTTATGATCTACAAAGGTATAGTCATCCCATGATGTAAATGACAAATCAAAGATAACATTAAGCAAACACTGTTATATTACATCAATGTATTACTGTGCATATATGGGGTTGCTAAGCCCACAGAGGTTATACATCTGGAGGAATGGGAGGCATTAAGCTTAGATCCAAGGAAGCCTAATCCTTGGGACAAAAGGCACTCTCTAGTATCAAGGAAATAACCTTTGAGGGGTGGGAAATGAGAGGTAATCAGATTGATCCAAGGAAGGAACACTTCACAGGTATCAAGGCACCCCTTAGAAAGGATAAGTGTCCATAAACAATCCTGAAAACAAAGCTGACAAGTGTGACACTATAATAAATGCCTGAAAGTAAACAATACTCCTGAAAGGTAAACTCTTTAGAATGATTCCAATTAAGCCCTGAAAATGTATTATAGTTCTACTTGTGACCAAGTCCTAATGACATAGCAGCCAGTTCTTCTCCTGCAAGCCTGGGATGAGAGCTTCCACTTGTGACTTGATACATCTCATCAGCTCACTCACAGTGTTGTTGGTTACACATTGCACATCAAAGTTCTCCTGAAAATTTTTCATTAGTGTTTAAAGGGAAACAAATGTGTACATAAGTAAAAGGTACATGAAAATGTAGCTGTACTGTAAATCTAGTGCCTTCACTAAGCAACACATTAGCCTGTTATGATACAGTATTGAGGCTGTACTATGAAATGTTTGTATTAATAGAGATCTCATAAATAATCTTACAAAACAGAACCAGGCTTTTCTTTCTTTCTTCTTTCTCTCCTCTAACCCAACTCTGTCAACTCTAGAGTTCATCAATATTAGCCTCTGTACTATACATCATATGAAATAAAGTGTGATGATAAAAAGTATACTCAATTGTGCCACTTAATAATCAAAACTAATTCTTCTCTACCAAACTTGTACATCCAACTGTTATACTCCTTTGTACAAACAAGTGTCATGCTGAAATAAAATTATCATCATTACTTTTTATATTAAAAGACAGAGTATAGGCCTGAAGCCTACAGCTGCTCTGAAAGTCAGGTCTTGACAACAAAAGCAATGATGCAGCTCAAGGCTAGCTAATAGTTTACTGCAAAACTATTTAAAAAATTAAAACTCAGGAGAGTCATCAGGATTGTATTTTATTTTCTATTTAAAAATACAAGTTATTTTCACGGGTTATACACCTGGACGTACCTTAATTGAAATTCCAAGTTTTGTATCCCATACCATCAGTTCCTCATTTGATACTTGTGAAAACACCTTCTTCAAGAGTTTCTTCAGTGGTTTACATAATTTACCTTCATTCAGTGCAACTCCTGCTTGCAAAGCATCAGCTGAATCAGAAAATTTCTTGAATTCTTGAAGCTGGACACTAAAGAAAAATATAAAGGAATATTCAATGAAGGAATGCATACATACCTATAAAACTATATTTTTTTAAAACGTCGGCCGGTTCCCACTGAGGCACAGTGACCCTCCCTCCCACAAAAAAAAAAAAAAAAAAAAAAAAAAAAAAAAAAAAAAAAAAAAAAATTACTTTCATCATTCAACACTTTTACCATCTTTTATACATAATCACTGCCTTTGCAGAGGTACTCAGATACATCAGGTTAGATGTCACTCCAAACAGCCAATATCCCAAAAACCCCTCATGTAAAGTGCAGGCACTGTACTTCCCATCTCCAGGTCTCAGGTCTAGCTAATCAATCAATCAATCAATCTCTCTCTCTCTCTCTCACACACACAGCCTCTCCTCACTTAACGACGTACTCGTTTACTGAAGACTTGGATTTACGAGACTCTCTGACCAAAATGCATACTTAAATAATGTATATTAGAGCTGATTTCCTCTATTCTTTTTATTACAATATACAGTACACTATTGTATTAACATTTACAAATGTATTAAAACATTATAAATGGTGCAAAGGTGACAATAAAACAATATCAAAGATGGTGACACAAACCCACTACCATTATAGTATGCTCCTCACTTAATGATGCATTCGTTTTATGACGTGGTCTCAGGAATGGAACTCTGTCATTAAGTGAGGGGAGGCTGTATATATAGCTTTCATCAAAAGTATATAAATCTATCATGATTTAGATATTACAGATAGATTTTGCCACTGAAGTGGCTAGTTTATTGTGACCCCATAGCCATCCTGTGGAAGGTAGCACAAGAGCACATGGATACACAAAAGACCTAGGAACTAGGCCCCAACAGGGTTACAGGTGTACATTTAGATTTATATCTCCAGTTCACTTATCTGTTACAAGTAAATTTAGGAAATTTGTTTAGTATATCTGGTATCTTGTTTTCATTAACCCTTTCAGGGTCTGTCCCGTAGATCAACGGCTTTACGTTGAGTGTCCAAACCGTAGATCTACGCCAAAATTCTAGCGCCGTCAAATTTAGCGTGAAAACGCTCATAGCCCTACATGTGAGAGAACGGGTCTGTTGGTGGGTGTGCGCCATAAACAAAAAATCTAGGCGCCCACATAGCATTGTGGGAACGCCGGCTCAGTTACCCTTGTTCACCATGCCTCGTCGCAAGTCAGCTCTCACTCCCCGGAAAATTGGGACTCTCCTCTTCCTATCTGATAGTTCTGACACTGATGGAAGTGGAAATGAAGACGAATTCTACGGCTTTGATCAGTTAGTGACCAAAAAGAATGACCAGGATATCATAATAGTGCAGAAAAACCCTGACGATCCTCAACCTTCTACCTCTGGTGTGGGCACTCGTGACTCACGGTCGGTTGTTCCTCATCGCAAGAGAAAACTAATATTTTCGCGTGGCCAGGCCTCTGACTTCAGTAATGATATGTGTGAGTGGATGTGTTTTTTTATTGCCCCACGATCAATCGAGTAGGATGGGGGGGGGAAATAAAATTCACTGAAGCTCGGTATTTCGCCGCCCATGCGCTGGGTAGTGCCTATCTGTCCCGGGGGGGACGGAGTACATCGTGGCCAAACCCCATTTTAGGTGTGATGTGAGGTGAGTGGCACACTTGGCATGGATGCCCACAGGCATCATGGTGGTGTTGTGGTGAGGGTAGTGGCACCCATGCGTGACCACCAGGCCCGTGGGCCCCATGCTGACTCGTCAGTTAAGGAAAAAGCGGAGCGCAGTCACCAGCCCCCAAAACCCAAAACCCCCCGCAAAACCCAGCCTATGAGTCCAGTATCCCCCAGAAAAAACGTATGTGGTTGGCAGCAAAATCCCAATTTTTTTCCAAAAGCTCACCACTTGAGATTTCAAAGGGGAATTCTACTACTTGCCCCCTTGGGAACCCAGGGCCCAATAAACTGGAATTCTTTGAATTATTTTTTGACCAGCCATTGATGGAAATTATTGTGGGGGGAAAGTAATAATTTTTGAGTAATCATGGAATACGATCTTATCACCACAGTCAAGATAAAAGGGTGGAAAGAACGAGTTGCAAAATTTATTTGTTTTTTTGCAACAAATGCTTATCCCTACGTCTAAAAGCATAATATAAAAGGGGTACTGGTCCAAGATCGGCTAATTTCTCCCCCGGTCTTCAGTGAAATCATACATGAACGGTTTTTCTTTCTTCGTATTTGCATTCTCTGACAAAACAGGTTGACAAAAGTGAAGGTTTACAAGATTAGAAATGTTTTCATGTATCTAAAACAAAAGTTCGGGAAATTATTTTATCATTAGAATTTTGTAATTGAGAATTTTTGATTTTGTTAAAAGGTGACTTCATTCAAGAGTATATACCGAGAAAGGGAAACGTTTTGGTATAAAACTGTTTTATCTGTGTTGTGACAGTGGCCTGGTTTTGGATATTTTGTAACACGGGTAGAAAAAACATTGAAAAAAACCCAAAGATTTATTGGGTATTCAGGTGACGTATGGAAACATGATGGCACCTTTCTTTGGTATGGGGCATACATTTTATACCCATAATGTACACAAGCCATTATCAGTGATTCATGGAGTGAACAAGACAGATGTGTGTGGCACAGTGCGTTTAATCGTAAACATATGCCCCGCTCAAGCAGGGTCGTGGGGAGACGTGCAAGGTGTTTTTGCCCAAAGAATCATGCATTACGGTGGCAGAAAAAATTCACGTTCAAACCTTCCCCCCAAAAAAAAAACTGGCAAATTGTGGTGTATTAAAAAGAAAACCCCATTTGATTTCCCCAAAATGGCTTCGACAAATGGGCATTTCTGTTTTGTCTGGGAAAAATTACAATTCAGAAAAATTTTTTTTACCATGGAATTTAAATCTATTAATATTTACCAAATAAAAAACTGGAAAAAGACCAGAAATTTTTTTGTTTGTTTTTGAAATAAAATGGTACCCGGAACCCCTCAAAATGGCCCTCAATTCCTCAAGATATAAAGGGAAAGAAGGGCAAAAAACCCTTAATTGGGGAAAAAAATTTCGGAGATCATTGTTGTCACAAAAAAAAACCCCCAACAAGCCAAAACCTCGGTTTTAAAATGGGGAAGAAGGTGCCCCTTCAAAGGCCCTTTTCAAATTCCCCAAAAAATTCTAAAAACCCTGTCCGTGAAAAAAAGAAAAAGAAGAAAATTATTTTTTTAAATAAATTTTCAGTTTTTGTTCCAAAAGGGAATTAAAAGTAAAATTCTAAACCAAAATTCAGTGGGGAAAAGGAAAAAACCTTATAAACAAAAAATTTTGGAAGTTTGTTCAAATTGCCCCGAAGTAAAAAATCAGGATTTCCCCCAAAGTTTTATTGTTTTCCAGCCCCCCTGTTTTAAACAGATAACCAAATTTTGAAATTTTTTTTTTCTGGGGTTTCCCCAAAAAAATAATCCCCAAAAATTTATTAAAAAATTTTAAAAAGGGGAAAATTTAAAAAAAAAAAAGATTTTAAGGGGGGGTCCCCCAAAACCATCCATTGGGGCCCTTTGGGTATTAAAAATTTTAAGAAAATTTTAAAAAGGGAACTCCCTTTTGGTAAAATCACCCCCAGCTTTGAACCGTCTTTAACTTTTCAATGCTGTTTGGCCCCTTTTTTGCTGTAAAAAGGGGGTACCGAGCTTTGGGGCCCAATTTTTTTGTTCCCCCGGGGCCATGATCTGGTTCCATGGAAAAAGAAGAAGGGAATAACCCCGGAAAAAGGGGCATAAAACCTAAAAAGGGGGTTCCTTCTAAAAAAAACATCTCTCCCCCTCCCTCCCATCCCACAATCATCCCCAGATCTTCAAAAAGTAAGTGTCATGAAATTGGCATGCCTTTTTCAGTTTGTGTGTAAAAAATTAAAACATTTTTTTTTGGTAAAAAAAAAAATTTTTTTTTATACTTTGGGTGTCTTGCAGGATTTAATTTTATTTCATATTTTTATGGGGAAATTAATTCGCATAGCGAACTTTGCATAACGCAGCCCTCTGCAGGGTTTTAATTTTCGTATGCGGGGGTCCCCTGTACATTTAAATTTTTTTATATTAAAATACAGCATAGGGGTTAGAAAACCCTAGGAAAACCCCAAAAAAAGCAGACGGGACTTATTTCCATTGGGCCCTTTTTTCCTTATTATTATATAAAAAGGTTAATTTTTTTTTATTATTCACAATGAGAAAACTTTTTTTAACTAAAAGAAAAACTACAACGGGGTCTTTAAAGATATCTAAATACGGGGGTCTTTACGGGAAAAGGAAAAATTTACAGTATTTTAGCTAAAAAATAGAAAATCATTCCCCTCCCTTTCTGTTAGCTTCATTCATCAGACACTTTTTGGCAGTCTTTTTGAACTGGTTCATGCTATCACGGGCTTTGGCATGTGCGGGAAAGTATGTTCCATTCCTTTATTGTTGTACAATAAAGGTTGTTTGACCGGGCCCACTGACTTGGGGTACTACAAAGTTGTGCTCTCTCCCCCTGTACTATGATTGCTTTGGTTCCCAACCTTGAACAAAATTTGACAGCAAGATATTCTGTACACTGTTCGTGAGTAATTTTATAAACATGATTTAGCTTCAGTTGTTTTTACTCTGTCTTCAACTTTCAGCATATCCAACTGCTGTAATTCATCCTGGCCTACATGTTCTCTTGGTCCCAGCCCCAGGATGAATCTTACGATTTTGTTCTGGGTGATTTGCAGTCTATCTTTCAGTTTTTTTGTCAAGGCAGAGTACCATGAAGAGCAAGCGTAATCCATATGGCATTGTATAAGGGTAGACATGGGTCCTGCGAGCCTCAGTAGGTAGACACTGTGCTTGTCTATACAGGAACTTCAGTCTGGCATTCGCTTTCTTTACTACACTGTTCCCTATCAATTCTCCTGACATGCATGGGTCAAAGGGGTTCCCAATTTTTATGATAAAACCAAAATTGATGGACCCCCCCAATACAAACAAAAATAATTAACAATAATATGATAAAAACTTTAGTCGGTTTTGTGTTCAATACTGAGTTTAAAATCTTCTTTCTTCAACACACGGGATCCCCCCGAGGCGGGTGGCCCAAAAGGAAAAACGAAATTTTTCCCCTTTTACATTTAGTAAAAACAAAAAAGGGGGTTTATACCCCCTTGCCCCCGGGTTTTTAGCGCCTCTTAAAACCGCATGGTTACGGGGGAAAAGAATTTTGTTCCACTTCCCCATGGAGATAAGGAAATAAACAAAATAAAATTAAAAGAAATAGAAAAAAAACCCGAGGGGTGTTTTATATTGCTTGTCATTTTTTTTGTGTGTTGTGCCCTAAGTGTAATTTGAAGTAGCAAGAGTCCCTGAATTTTGTGTTCTGAGACAAAAAAAAGGACCCCAGCAACCCTACCATCATTTAAAACAATTACGGTTTGTTTTACACTCACTTGGAGGAGGGTAGTACCCCTGGGGGGTTGCTGTCTACCAACCTACTCCCCTATATGAGTTATATAAAATAATTATATACGTTTTGGTCTCTCGGGCCCCAAATTTTAGTGGGAATAAAAAAAAATTGGAAAAAAAAAAAAAAAAAAACAACTAAAAACCAAAAATAATGAAATGCGCGTATGGGGAAATTCGTCGATGTTGCCGCCCCCCAAACCTTTTTTGAAAATTTTGGGCACTGTATTCGGTAAGTACTGATCAGATTTTTTTTTTTTGTCTTATTCCCTTCACAAAAATATGCTCTTTAATTCTGTAAGAAAAAATTATTTTTTTTTTTTTTAAAATTTTTGGGCACTGGAAAACCCCTTCAGATTTTTCCCCTTTGGGCCCGAAAGGGTTAATAAGATATCTTGACATGTCACATAGGTTATTATACTGTCTATCTCTATAATCCTCAATACTAATGCAGTACTTACATTTTACTAGCTTTCTCAGGGGTCTCAAAATTTTCTAGATTTTCCCTTGCTGCGTTTTTTTTATCCAAAACCCGTTATAATAATAATAATAATAATAATAATAATAATAATAATAATAATAATAATTAATTATATTTCTCCAGGTACATGATACAACTGGCAAACCTAGCTGACATCACTGGCATACTATATAAAGCCCCTGGTTATGCAAATCATTTTGTACAACTTCGTTTAATCTTCTCTCTCAGGATGTGACCCACAACAATCGGCTAACACCCAGGTACCCACTTATTGCTAGGTGAACAGTAAGTAAGTTTATTCAGGTATACACAAATACAGTTAAACAGAATTATCATACATAGCAGCATATGTGTAGAGAACCTAGGATAACCCAAAAAAGTCAGACAGAGTGACTTATTTCCATTGGGGTCCTTTTACCTTATTATTATAATATAAAGGTTATAATATTTTCTTATTATTCTATAATGAAGATAACATCTTATTATCATACTAAAAAGACTATCTACTATACGAGGGTCATTACTAGGAATAAGGTAAAATTTACACGTATGTTAACTAAAAAATAGAAAATAATTCCTCTCCCTTTCTGTAGCTACATTCATCAGACACCTTTTGGCACTCTTCTTGAACTGGTTCATGCTATGACTGGCTTTGACATGTGCGGGCAGTCTGTTCCATTCCTTTATTGCTGTACAATAAAAGGTGTTTGAAGCCTGGCCAATGACTGTGGTACTACAAAGTTGTGCTCTCCCCCAAGTACTATGATTGCTTTGGTTCCCAACCTTGACAAAATTGACAGCAAGGTATTCTGGACACTGTTTTGTGAGCAATTTTATAAACATGATTTAGCTTCAGTTGTTTTACTCTGTCTTCAACATTCAGCATATCCAACTGCTGTAATTCATTCTGGCCTACATGCTCTCTTGGTCCCAGCCCCAGGATGAATCTTATGATTTTGTTCTGGGTGATTTGCAGTCTATCTTTCAGTTTTTTTTGTCAAGGCAGAGTACCACGAAGAGCAAGCGTAATCCATATGGCATTGTATAAGAGCTAGACATAGGGTCCTGCGAGCCTCAGTAGGTAGACACTGTGCTTGTCTATACAGGAACTTCAGTCTGGCATTTGCTTTGTTTACTACACTGTTCCCTATCAATTCTCCTGACATGCATGGGTCAAAGGGGATTCCCAGATATTTTACTGATGAAACCAAAGTGATGGGCTCCCCATTACACTGGACATTAAAATTATTTACCCTTCTCAGTTTATGTTTCGTGCCAAAGAGAATGGCTTCAGTTTTCCCGAGGTGTAATAATAGTTTGTTGTCTACTAACCATTTGCTGCAGGACTCCAGTTCCAGTGTTAAAGCTTTAGCTATATCTTGTGGGTCTTTACCTGACAGGGGAGCAGGTGTATGGAAACATGCCCAATGTTTCACCTGTGCCAGAAATCTATTTGAACCCCTCAGTGTGAAAGCTGTAGATGCTATCAACCAAGCCATGAGCACTTTTCTATCTAGTCATCTATCTTTGTTTTAGTACATATAATGTAACTATTGAAATAGAAGCACTTTGCTGTTAACATGGACATCATAATGTGTATCTAAGAATGCAGAAAACACACATTATTAAATTTGCATAATTATGTACATACTCGTATATTGATAGGTAAAAATTATTAAAACCTTGTTAGAATAACTCCACTCATTAAACAAGAATTGCCAAAACTAGGAGTTATTGTTCCTTCTAAGCAATACAATAACTGTACAGGAAACAATGCATGTATTACATTATTATTATTACTGAATTACATTCACAAGGAAGCTTTACACCTGTAGGTTTAATTTAGCTCCTGGGTAATCAGACTTGCTCTAAGGAAGGGGAGGATACCTTATGATATACATGTAAGAGATTTCAATGGCTTGTATGCTGTACCACCAAAATTTTGGCCAAGATTCCTTGGCAAATGTGAAACAGGATGCCAAGTGCAGTGTTAGGATATTCTATTGAGGAAACGTTCTGCTATGAAATGAAGCCATTACAAAATAAAGAGAAACATGCTGGAAAACATACAGAGAAGAATGATAAAGTTAATCCTATGTATCAGAAATCTTTCCTACGAGGATAGACTGAGGGCACTAAATCTGCAAGTTCTGGAGATATAAATGAGGTATATAAATAGAAGACAGGAGTAAATAAAGAGGATATAAATAACATGCTAAAAATATTGCAGAATGGGGTCACTGGGAAAAATTTAGATTAAGAAAATATAAAGGAACGCATTGTTTGGTAAGAGTTGTGGATTAGTGGAAGAAACTTCGAGTAGCACCACTGATGTTTAAAAAACATTGGGTGGTTTTAAAATAAGTTAAATAAGTACATGAGGTGTAGTTGGACATTCCTAAACAGACCAGAAGGACTACTGCACATGCTTATCCTTTTTGTTCTTAGGTCATTCGTGGCAAAATGTTTCCTCAATAAAATATGGAAAACTGCACTTGGTCTTATTTCACACTTCCTTGCTGAGTGTGTTTTAACCAGCCTGTTGATGTAGCCTGCAAGCCTTCCCAAAGAGCTGGATGATCTGGCACTTGTGGAGGTAGTGACCCAAGTTTCCTCTCATGACTCATCGTTCCCCCATAATGACATGATTGCAAACAAACCACTAACACAGGTGGTGTTTTTTGAAACCCATGGTCAGAGTGTCTCAAAAAACTCCAAACCGTTGCATTAGCCACTGGACAGTAGCTATCAATAAGATTAATCCAACTAGGTATATTTTTACACATAGGGAAGGGTTTAGCATAGGCACCACTGTTTTGAGGACTCTCCAAACGCGGGTTCAAACCCCACCCGTTGGTACGGATTTTTTTTTTTACCTCTTTAAGACTTACATTACTGGTTACTGGCAAACACTTTGATACCTGCTGAAGCTTAATACCTTAGACTACGAATGTTAATACAGTGTTTCTCTTCTGTGCCTAGGCACCCAATGGAAAATAAAGTCACTTTGTTGGGTTATCCTATTATAATTACACCATATGATGAATGGCTTAAAAAAAAAGAAGATGAGAACACTTGTGCCCCAATTTTGGGAATCTTCACCTAAGGAATTGTTTCGCCAGAGAGTGGCTTCTTCAGTCTAAATATAAAGAACGGTGAAAAAAACTAGTTTGAGGTAATCAGTCCTCAGCTGGATTTAATGTTTAGTCCATCAATCATGGTGAGTGGATCCTAGAGTGGGCAGTTTCTCACTCAAGAGCCCTTTGCCCACATCAAGGCATCTCCTTCAAGGGGATAAACCAGTCAACAACAGAGACTAAAATAGACACACTAGAACTGCCATTAATAAAAAAATAACCCATAAACTGTTAGTATCAGCGGAGCACAACCCCAGGCTGCATCACTCACCATTAATCACACGAACAACAATCTTCACTTGCATATTCCTCAACCCAAACTCCCAATAACCTTAAAACAGCGAAGCCGCCGCTTGTCTCGAATAACACAAGCATTTTTAGTGGTATGTACGTGAAAGCAAGGTAGTAGTGGCGGCACCACGCTGCTCCACCATGCACTACATAACTTCAATCAAATATATATTAGTATATGTTTTTCAAACATGTTTTAAACACAAGTTTTTATTCTTAACGAGGCCTTAAAATACAATATTATTTAAAAACCAAATTATATAACATACTAATGTTGCCTTATTTTGGTAATTTATTCATTATAAATAAAAAACTTTCAGTGGAATAAAAAAATACATGCTTTTCAGTGGTATAAGAATTTGAAAAAATATGAAGAAAAAACCATAATAATTAATTAAAATAATATCTTTATTTACTACAAGGACATGTACAGGGTTACAGTCCTAGCTGATTACAATGACATATTACTATATAGAAAGTCCCTTGTTATGCTCCGGAGGCATTTCGGGCAAATTAGGTCAGTGTCCCAGGATGCGACCCACACCAGTCGACTAACACCCAGGTACCCATTTTACTGATGGGGAACATAGACAACAGGTGGAAAGAAACACGTCCAATGTTTCTACTCTGGCTGGGATCGAACCCAGACTCTCCGTGTGAGCGAGAGCGTTCACCACAGGCCACCAGAGTCCCTATCGGAGTAATTTTTTGGTTTATATATAATTTTTTATTTAAAAGTCTAAAAAATGGTTTTGCAGACATTTTAAATTTTTACAAAGGTTCTGAGGGCACAGATGTTACAATCACACATATATGTTACATTACATAAATTTATTCTAGATCAATATGACTTATTTCCATTAGGGTGTCCTTATTTGACCATAGTAAGTTTATTCAGGTACCGGTACATATAAATACAGTTACATAAATTATCATACATAGCAGCATATGTGTAGATTACCTAGGATAACCCAAAAAAGTCAAATTGACTTATTTCCATTAGTTAGTTTAGTTTAATATGTTTATTATGCACCCCATACCCATCCTGTGGGCGGTAGTCAAAAGATTACAGAGGTAACATGACTTAAGAAATCGTAATGACACGATTGCAAATAAACCATACCCCAACGGGCTGGAGTTTTGAGACTCTATGACCGCGGGTTCAATCCCGGCCGGGGGTATGGATTACAGAGGTACATAATTGGTCCAGGGACTGGACTCCAAAGTTTTGACAGCTGAGCAAGTTACAGAGGTAATGAACTCACAATTTACAAAGGTAATGAACTCAAATTTACAAAGGTAATGAACTCCAGGTAAGTCTGGTCACAATCATGACAAGTTACAAAGGTATTTACAGATTACAGAGGTACGTAATGGGTCCAGGGACTGGGCCCCCAAAGTTTTGACAGCTGAACTAGGTACAAAGGTAATGAGCTCACAAGTTACAAAGGTAATGAATTCTGTTAGGACAAGGTCTTACTTACGCCAGCTTAATATCTTTGGCTACAATCATGAACAAATTATAGAGTAATGAGCAATTCACACTTCCACACCCGGTCACAACTGTAATGAGTTATTGGGCAAATGTTTTTGTTAGTGGGTTTTAGTTGGAGAAAGACGTGCCGAGTATGGGCCTGTAGGTCTGCTGCAGTGTTCCTCCCTTATTATGTTCTAGGTGTAAGTAAGTAAGTAAGTAAATTTATTCAGGTATACACAATACAGTTACATAGAATTATCATACATAGCAGCATATGTGTAGAGAACCTAGGATAACCCAAAAAAGTCAGACAGAGTGACTTATTTCCATTGGGGTCCTTTTACCTTATTATTATAATATAAAGGTTATAATATTTTCTTATTATTCTATAATGAAGATAACATCTTATTATCATACTAAAAAGACTATCTACTACACGAGGGTCATTAAGACTATCTACAATACGAGGGTCATTAAGACTATCTACTACCCGAGGGTCATTACGACTATCTACAATACGAGGGTCATTACTAGGGATAAGGTAAAATTTACACGTATTTTAGCTAAAAAATAGATGTTCACGGTATTTACACAAAGAGGTTTGTGTGTATATACTGAGAGGTGACTGTCCCCTCAGTGTACTTGGACCTGGACCTGGAGTACCATGAGTTGCATTTCTCTCAGTGTTTAAACAGTTTACTTTAGTATCTATTTTAGAAATTTAAGTAACCTTGACCGGTGGTTTAGTTAGTTTAATATGTTTATTATGCACCCCATACCCATCCTGTGGGCGGTAGTCAAAAAATTACAGAGGTACATAATTTCCAGGGACTGGACTCCAAAGTTTTGATAGCTGAGCAAGTTACAGAGGTAATGAACTCACAATTTACAAAGGTAATGAACTCACAATTTACAAAGGTAATGAACTCACAATTTACAAAGGTAATGAACTCCAGGTAGGTCTGGTTCACAAATAATGACAAGTTACAAGGTATTACAGAAATTACAGAGGTACTTAATGGGGTCCAGGGGACTGGGCCCCCCACAGTTTTGTAGCTGAACTAGGTCACCAAAGGTAATGAGACTCACAGTTACAAAGGTAATGAATTCTGTTAGAATGGTTACTTACGTTTATACATGGCTAAAATCTGAACACAATTATAGAGTAATGAGCAATTCACACTTTCACACCCGGTCACAACTGTAATGAGTTTTTATTGGTGGGGCAAATAATGATGTTGAGTCAACACACACACACACACACCACACAAACACACCACACACACACACCCACACACACACACACAACACACAACACACACACGCCACACACACCCACACAAATCCTGTGTCAAAACATTCTGTGGTTTTTATGAAAAATACAGAAGTAAGACAAGAGGGAGAGGGGTGGGTTGATTGCATCTTCTTTGGACTGCAAGAAGGCCTTTGACACAAGTTCCTCAAAGAGATCTGTGCAGAAGCTAGAGCATTCAGGCGCATTATAACAGGAAAGGGCACTGCAATGGATCAGAGGAATACCTGACAGGGAGGCAACAACGAGTCATGGTACGTAATGATGTATCACAGTGGGCACTTTGACGAGCGGAGCCCGGGTCCCACAGGGCGTCGTGTCCTAGGACCAGTGCTATTTTTGGTATATGGTGAAACGACATGAGGGAAAAGGAGGTTAGACTCAGAGTGTCCCTGTTTGCAGATGATGTGAAGTTAATGAGTGAGAATAAATCTGATGAGGACCATGGCAGGATTCAAAGAGACTGGACAGACTGGACACCTGGTCCGCAAATGGCTTTCTCGAATTTATTCCTGCCAAATGCAAAGTCATGAGATGGGGGAGGGGCACAGAAAGACCACAGAAGAGTATAGGCTAGGTGGCCATAGGACTGCAAACCTCACTTCAAGGAGAAAGATCTTGGGAGATAGTTATAACCACCGAGCATGTCTCCGGAAGCACACATCAATCAGATAAACTGCTGCAGCATGATGGGCGCCTGGCAACCTGAGAACAGCATTCCGAATACCTTAGTAAGGAATCATTCAAGACCTGTACACCGGTTGTCAGGCCCTTATTGGAGTATGCCAGCACTGTTTGGAACCCGCCCACTGATAAAGCACGTCAAGAGAAAACTAGTGAGAAGATGAAAGTACAAAGGTTTGCGACAAGTTTAGTTCAGAGCTAAGGGGAATGTCTATGAGGAAAGATTAAGGAAACTCGGCCTGACCACACTGAGAGGACAGGAGGGTCAGGGGAGGACATGATAACGACATATAAAATACTGCGTGGAATAGTCAAGGTGGGACCAAGACAGGATGTTCCAGGGAGGGGACACAGAAACTAGAGGCCACAATGGAAGTGAAGACACAAATGAGTCAGAGAGATAGTAGGAAGTATTTCTTCAGTCATAGATTGTAAGGCAGTGGAATAGCCTAGAAAATGACGTAGTGGAGGCAGGAAACCATTCACGTTTTAAGACGAGGTTTGATAAAGCTCATGGGAGCGGGGAAAGAGAGAGGGCTAGTAGCAACCGGTGTAGAGGCGGGGCCAGGAGCTGGACTGACACCCCTGCAACCACAAAATAGGTGATACAAATAGGTGGTACACACACACACACACACCACACACACACACACACACACACACACACTCACAAACACACACACAAAACACACACAACACACACACACATCACACACACACACACACCACACACACACACACACAACACACACACAACACACCACACTGTAGTTTAAATATCTTTATTATGCAACCCCATTACCCATCCTGTGGCGGATAGTCAAAAAGATTACAAAGGTACATAATGGGTCCAGTGACTGGACCCCAAAGTTATGATAGCTGAACTAGTTACAAAGGTAATGAACTCCACGTAGATCTGGTCACAATCATGGCAAGTTACAGAGGTGATGAATCAGCTTCACTCCTATACATGGTTACAGTCATGAGCAAATTACAAAGTAATGAAACACTGATACGTCCACACATGGGTCACAATTTGTAATGAGTTATAAATACAAATATTAAGTGGATCATACACCCACACTAGCGCGCGCGCACACACATACACACTTGGGCCAGTGACCATGTGGTTTTAAGCTTCGAATACACAGTAGAGCTACAAGTGGAGGGAGAAGCAGGAAGGCCAGGACGAATGAAGCCAAACTACAAGAAAGGGGACTACACAGGAATGAGGAACTACCTGAACGGGGTTCAGTGGGACAGAGAACTGGCAGGGAAGCCAGTTAATGAGATGATGGAATATGTAGCAACAAAATGCAAGGAGGTGGCTGAGGAGAGGTTTGTACCCAAGGGTAACAGGAATAATGAAAAAGCCGGATGAGCCCATGGTTTACCCAAAGGTGCAGGGGAGGCAAAATAACCAAGTGTGCTAGGGAATGAAGAGAAATATAGAAGGCAAAGGACCCAGGAGATAAGGAGAACAGTGTAGAGCCAGAAACGAATATGCACAGTTAGAAGGGAGGCCCAAAGACAATATGAAAATGACATAGCAGCGTAGCCAAATCTGACCCGAAACTGTTGTACAGCCCACATCAGGAGGAAAACAACAGTCAAGGACCCAGGTAATCAGGTTAAGGAAAGGAAGGGAGAGACAACAAGAAAATGACGTGAAGTATTGTGGAAGAACTCAACAAGAGATTCAAAGAAGTGTTCACCAGAGCGAGACAGAAGGGACTCCAGAAAAGACGGAGAGGTGGGGCACACCGCCACCAGTGCTGACACATTGCACACAACGAGGGAAGAAGTGAATGAAGAGGCTTCTGAGTGAGCTAGATACCTCAAAGGCACCTGGGGCCAGATAACATCTCCCCATGGGTTTGAGAGAGGGAAGCAGAGCAGAGGCGCTATGTGTACCCCAACAACAATATTCAATACATCCTATCGAAACAGGGAAGATTGCCTGAGGACATTGGAAGACAGCCAAATGTAATCCCAACGCTTTAAAAAAGGAGACAGACATGAAGCATTAAAACTACAGACCAGTGTCACTTGACATGTATAGTATGCAAAATCATGGAGAAGATTATCAGGAGAAGAGTGGTGGAACACTAGAATGGAACGATCTCATAACAGGCAGCCAACATGGTTTCAGGGACGGGAAATCCTGCTGCCACAAACCCTACTGGAGTTCTATGACATGGTGACAGCAGTAAGACAAGAGAGAGAGGTGGTGGGGGGTGGATTGAATTTTTTCTGGACTGGCAAGAAGGCGTACTCCTGACACAGTTCCACCAAAGAAGATTGGTTGCAAAAAAAAACGTGAGGAGCAGAGGAGGAAACCAAGCAGGGATAACCAGGGGGAAGGCACACTACATTGGATCCAGGGAATACTTGTCAGGAAAGACAGAGCGGTCATGGTACGTGGCGACGAGGTGTCAGAGAGTGGGCACCTAGTGACGAGCGGGGGGGGGGGGTCCGCAGGGGGTCAGTCCAGGACCAATGCTGTTCTGGTTATTTGTGAACGACATGAACGGAAGGAATAGACTCTGAGGTGTCCCTGTTTGCAGATGACGTGAAGTTGATGAGAAGAATTCACTCGATCGAAGACAGGCAGAATACAAAAGGGATCTGGACAGCTGCAGACCTGGTCCAGAATTGGGACTCCTGGAGTTCAATCCCAACCAAGTGCAAAAGTCATGAAAGATTGGGAAGGGCAAAGAAGCCGCAGACGGAAGTACAGTCTATTAGGGGTGGTCAGAGACTACAGCCTCCATCAAGGAAAAAGATCTTGGGTGTGAGTTAAAACACCAGGCACATCTCTGAAGCGCACATCAACCAAATAACTGCTGCCAGCATTATGGGGCCGCGCCTCCTTAGCAAACCTCAGAAACAGCATTCCGAATCTTAATACAGGAATCATTAGGACCCTGTTACACTGTTGTACGCCCTAGGCCATATTGGAGTATGCCGGCACCAGTTTGGAAACCCACACCTAGCACAAGCCCGTGATGAAGAAACTAGAGGAATGTGCCAAAACAATGGTTTGCAACAAGACTAGTCCCAGGAGCTAAGAGGTATGTCTACGAGGGAGAGGTCTTTTTAAGGGAAATCCAACCTGAACGACACTGGAGGACAGGGATGGAGTAGGGGGGGGACATGATTCGACATAAAAATACTGAGAGGATTGACAAGGTGGACAAAAGACAGGAATGTTCCAGAGATTGGACACAGTAACAAGGGGGACACAGTTGGAAGCTGAAAGACACAGATGAATCACAGGATGTTAAGAAAGTATTTCTTCAGCCACAGAGTAGTCAGTAAGTGGAAAGTTTGGGAAGCGATGTAGTGGAAGGCAGATCCATACATAGCTTTAAGCAGAGGTAAGTGATTTAAAGCTCACGGCTCAGGGAGATGTGACCTAGTAGCGATCAGTTGATGAAAGAGGCGGGGGCCCAGGCAGAGAGTCGGACTCGACCCCCGACGCCCTCAACTAGGTGAGTAACTAGGTGAGTACGAGACGGCCGCACGCACGGACATGTGCACACGAGCGTATAAATATATGCATACACACAAGGACGCACACCCCACACACCCACACCAACCCCTCACACAACCCACACCACCCCTCATTCCACACACCCACCACAACGCACCACACACACCCACACACGCAACAAAACGCACACACGCACCACACAACACACCCTCACAAACACCCCACACACAACCCTCACACACCCACTACACACACCCACCACACACACACACGCGCAACACACACACACACACACACGACACACAACACACACACAACACACACACACACACTGCACACATGCACACATGTGGTATGCTTTATTTTTACAGCACTAGCAAAGTCAGGGTATTTCTCCAGATTGGTCTGTAATATACACTGAGGATAAAATTCTTTGCCCATTTCTTGGACATTTCTGATTGTGAGTTGGTTTCTAAAATTCATTAATTTGATCACACTCCAGTACATAATGACCGCAAGTTGTGAGACAATAGTCCATCAGCAAAAGTTTACATTTCGTTTGGTCTACATCTGGTGGATTGGTGGATTTACTGCCAAAGATTACTTGTCAACCATGCCGGAGCCGGGCAGTAGTAGTAGTCTGAGGTGACATCCAAGAGATCGCTTATCATGTTGGAATGCACCTAAGCATGTGGCCCTCATGCAATGATGGAAAAAATGATGATAGATGAAATGAATTGTGTCCAACTCCCTAAGTCTTAAGTCAATAAAAGTTCATTTGAAAGTTCTTTTCGTATTATTGTTCTCAAACTGCTAACTGAACAACCCAAAAGATTGTAATCTACCCCCTCTTTGAAAGCATACAGCTTATGCCATTTATCAGTTCTTATGCATCTGAAGACCAATGTGAGATGGAATCCACAGCATGTGCACTCGGATCCCCACTGTCCACAATCTTACCTTATCTATGTCTTGGCTTTCTGACACAAGCATGCCACAAATTTATACTTTAATGAGATGGAGCATTTATGGATGACAGAGAACAATTACAATTAAAGTTGTCTCAAACCTTAGATACATGGACACATTGAGTTGCAACAAGGAGTATGGCAAACAGTTCTGTTTGAAGGGTAGATATAGGCCCAGTACAGTTGTTGATGCGTGCTCCAATTGCTCCAATTTCTATGAGAGCCATCAATCTGTGTGACAAACAGCAGCACTACCAGCTTGCACCGGTGGAACTGGTGAACAGGAACCATCGACGTAATAATTTGTGGAAGAGTGTCTGTGTGACCTAAGTTATCATACAGCTTAAGATCATGTTTGGCTCTCAGGACGAAGCTTTGGTCTGTGATTTAAGAAGAAATGAGTTATTGGGGGGGGAAATGGATGGAATGGTAGTTTGGAATGGGGTATGGTGTAATATCCCATGGGCTGGGAAATGTCTCTGTTGTCTAACTTTGATAATAGATCACACTTACCACTCCACTCACTCTTTTTGACCATAAACAGAATATTATCTCAGTCTTAAAATAATGAAATCCTGCTGTGATATCTCCATACTGAAAACTATGTACTGTGCCAAAAACAAAAAGCAATTCACATTGCTAAACTCATGGTGGTAATATTCCCATGGAGCAGGGAAAATGTCTCTGTTGTCTAACTTGATATAGATCACACTTTACACTCACTCCTCATTTTGACATAAACAGAAAATATTAATCTCAGTCTTAAAATAATGAATCCTGTGATACTCAATACTGAAACTATGTACTGTGCCAAAACAAAAGCATTTCACATTGCTAAACTCACAAACTAGTATTTAGTCACTTAGCCATATTCCAACTTACCTCATAATTTGTAATATTTTACAATTAAGATTAAAACTATGTATGCCCGAAATGCCTAGCCCATGCTAAGCGTTTTTTAGTGGTACACTATGTAATACAATTTTAACTACATGTTACCAAACAATAACCAAAATTTCTGTAAACTCAGCATTGTAATCTTAATAGAGAATAAACTTTGAATTTGAATTTGAATTTTGGAATGTAGCTGGTTATGCGGAGGTCGGTTTTCAGTTTTTTCGATCCATAGGAAGGATGTTACCAGTGTGAGGTAAGTTTGGAGGCTTTCTGTGCAGGTGGGTTGATGGGCTCTAGCCTTAAAGCATATTGACCCCAATAAGGATATTTCTTTCAGTAAACACGATCTCTAATGCTTGGAATATTAAGTTCTTTCGAAATATTTTAAATTTTGGCAGTACGAGGGCATCCTAGGATGATCCCTCCATTGGCTTCGTTTTGCAGTTTTTTCCGCCCTCCAAGCTTCAGTAGACACGGAGTGGCAAGTAGTGGCGCCCGCATAATTAACCATGATCTAATATAAGCAAGATACATCATTTTCACAATTTAACATTTAGCCACCATTACCTGGGATGAAAACCTTGCCACAATTAAGTTGCTCTCAGCCTTTCTTGTATTGGCGACAAAGTCTCGTTAAACAGGTCCAGTAGTGGAACCTCAAAGCTAGATTAACCTGTATCTGCTTTACATATTCTGAAGAGACCCATCATTGCATGGAATCTGAGAACGTGCCTCTCTGCCGATGGAGGCGCCTGTTGAGTATCTTTGTTTTATCCCCTGAGATTATAACCCAGGCCTGACACGGTGGAAGGCTAGTACATGATTTAAGAGTTTTGGGTGTTGGAGAATCCGGTAGTGTGATCATTATGTCATCAGCAAAAACTAACCATATATGATGGGGCTGGCTAGGCATGGCATTAGGTAAGGCATTAATCAAAATGTTGAAAAGGTGGGACAAACACACCCCCCTTGGGGGGTTCCCTAATAAAAAATCTTTGGCGGGTCACAACCGGCCGCGGGGGCGTTGCCCCCCGGAATCTCCCAGGTAAACCTTCTATGCCCCGGGAACAAACAGACGACTTTTTTTTGGACAGGTAATTTTTAAAACCAGCGGAAAGCCTCCCCCAAACACCATTCTGGAATTTCACAAATTATTCATGCCCGGTTTGGGCTACATAAAAAGGGGATTTAATGAGCCAACCGACATGTAATCTTTAGTAAACTTGCCAGAAGGGATGTTGGAGGATGGTTTCTCCGCGGGTTTAAAGTTACCTGCCCCAACAGAAAGTCGTCTTGTTGTTCCGGGGACAAAAATTTTAACTAAAAATTTGAATTGGGAACCCCACAGGGAGGTGTGTTAGTCCCCCCCCTTTTAAACATTTTGATTAATCCCTTTACTTAATCCATCCCTACCCCAGCCCCAATAAAGCGGCTTTTTTCCAAAGATGCGGCTCTACTTACTGCTAGAAAGCACACCAAATGCCTCCACCAGCCCCAAAATGAAACTGGAGAGAAAGGAATAGCTAGAAAAGGGTCTCATAGATAAAAGGTTGGGAAGCACTACATTAGCGGGTCGTTCACATCACAATGATCCTGCGTTCACCTTCCATGTAGCAATTAAGTTCCGTTGTGAAGGTGGGACCGCCATGTTCCTCACACCTCAGCCGTGAGAAAGTTCTCCAGTATTTATATTTTTCAGATATTCAATACTTGTAGCCTGTGGGGAAGAACATAGAATAAAAAAGAGAAACTGCAGCCATGATCCACCTGTATTTGTAATGAGTTTGAAAGAAGAGTTAGGTCTGGATTACTGTCTGCTGGGTAATTTATGGTGTGTTGGAAGGTGTACGGTAGTTGCCAGGAGGTATTGCTACCGTGCACACTGTAAGTGGGGTCTACCTGCTAGGCTGGTGGATCCAGCTGGAGTTCTTACCTACAGTAGTGAAGGCAAGGCACTCGTTGCAGAGCAAACCTTCATAAACACAACGTCGAGCTTTAGCAAGTCTTGATGTAGATTTACACATTAAACGTTTCAATACAAGCTTTGTAACTTGCGTTCTTCAGTGTTAGCTATGATAGGCTCTTGGTATTTTCTGTGTTTATCTCCTGTGTTTTAGTGTTGACCTTGGTAATGTTTTACAGTGTTGACCTTGGTAATGTTTTACAGTGTTGACCTTGGTAATGTTTTACAGTGTTGACCTTGGTAATGTTTTACAGTGTTGACCTTGGTAATGTTTTACAGTGTTGACCTTGGTAATGTGAATATAGTGAACTAAAGTTCTTGCAACTGATGTGGTAGTACCAATACTGAAAAATAACATTAAGAAGACACATGTACAACAATGAAGTGTCTTTATCCCTGAAACTTTTCACCTGCACAATAACTTTCTTCAGTTGCACACAGGAGAATATAACACAAGAGACAGTCGACGCAGACTTGCTATACATGTTCACGGAAATCGTGATAAATTGGAAAACAAATGTAAACATTAATGTGAGGTGTAATATAAAATTGTTTTGGTGTATGTCAGTCGTAATGCACTGTAAATTTATAAACATTAATGAAGAAAAGTTATTGGATTTACTAGAGATCATGTCACTGTCAATAAACCTTCACTCTCTACCATCTCTCACCTCTGACGTCTAACACTCAGTGATCTCTTACGGGTTTAATGTTTTTCATTTATATAATAATAACAATAGTAAATAGTAATAATAATAATAATAATAATAATAATAATAATAATAATAATAATAATAATAATAATAATAATAATAATAATAATGCCATGGCATTTGGACGAATGTAAAAGTAGTGTAGCAAAAATATAAAAATTAGTATTCAACGCGAAACATTTCATTCCACACTACTTTGAACACTGCAACAACACTTAATACATTAATGAAGATGAAGACAATTTCACTGCAAGCTTTCATTAGGACAACGTTTCGCCCCATGTAGATAGAGCTCTAGGCATAATTTGATAAAAGCCCTACACAGCGTTACTTCGTCCCAATAAAAGCTAGTTTTGTAACTTGTATCTTTCTTAATATTCCTCAGCAAGACGGGATTTCCAGCATGTAATACACGTACCTCCACTACACTGTCGTATACACCAGGCGAGTGTCTACTCCTCTAAATAGCGCTGAAGGTGTGGAAGAAAAAAAGGAAGTGTGAGGTGATGGGATCCCTCTGGGTGTTGAGCTGTCTCCTGAGCCTAGTGACTGGCAGCCATGACCTCCATACTTCCTGGACACACATGGAACAACTGTGGCAAGACGAGGTCCGAGTACTGAAGCAAATACGCACCCTGATACACTCCTTTACTGAACTAAACTTAGTATTGCAGAGGCAAGTAAAAATTATTCGTATATGTTGCTTTTTTCGGAATATGAAAAATGATGGTGATAATTACCCTTGCAGTTGTTAGATAGCTTTATTATGCATACAAATTCGTCCTGTGAGCGGCAGTCAAAAGATCATGGACGTATATGTAAAGTAATACGTTACTTGCATAGAAATATGAAACTCAAGTAAGGAAGAGCTGTATATTTCGGCCTCAGTCAGCGACTTTCTTCAGCAGATATGTAGGCATGTCGCTCGCTTACATATAACTTGGCTGATAAGTGGGTGAAAAGGGAGATAAGTTGTGTACCTTAGTACCCTCAAGGGAAGTTCCCTGACGCTGGAGAGGGGCTCTTGATCTAGGGAATTGGATCTGTGCTCTGGTTCCCTGAATTGAGCCTGAATACCTTCCATCCCCCTTTCCACATGCGCTGTATAATCCTACGGGTTTAGTGTCCCCATGATTATAATAATATGTACCTTAGTAGACTGGAGTAGGCCAGTAGTAGCTCGTGAGAAATGTCATGTAGGCTTCATTAGATCCTTTGTAGAGGTTGTGTCTAAATTAGGTACACCCCTTTGATGATTGGTTGATAATGTGTTACAGGTATGTTGAGTCGTGGGAAGCTGTGGGTGGTGAGGGAGATGAGTGGTCAGGTGATGCTGGTGATCCTGCTGCTACATACTCTCTCCTTCGCCATGTTGCTGAGGGCTGGACCCAGGTCGACGACGCCTTGGGTAAAACCAAAGAGATTTTCAGTGATATTGGTGAGTACTTCTTTCCTACGACACTCGATGTATTATAATTAAGGGCTGCGAACCTAATATTTTTCCAACAGTAGCAAAATTCAAGCTCAAAGTGCCAACAGGATGATTGCAGGATTCATAACGTAGCTTTTAGATTAACTAATCCCATGTTATGCAAAAAGCAAAATTTAACCTAATTGTTTTTATGGAAAATTGCATTTATCTGAATGTATCATT